TACAAAGAAAGTCGTTTTAGACGACTTGGACCCTATAGTTAAATCAATCACTATTGCCCCCTTGACTTCGGTAACTTCCCCAAGAAAATCAGATAACTGAACATTGGATGGGATGATGTCATTGTCATATTTCCCTAATTTCTTGAAGTATTTGTAAGATATGAGATTCAAAGTAGCTCCGGCATCTACAAAGATTTTACCGACAGACCTACCATTGACCCTTCCTGAAACAATCAAGGATCTTAAATGCTTTGCTTTTTCAGATGGTACCCTCTCAAACTTGATAGCTTCTTTGTCGGGAAACTGAAATTCTGCCATGGCTGTCTCTTTTTCTGAAATATGTTCGATGTCTTCTTCTACTATCAAACTAGTTCCATACTTCGCTGGAAGTCTAACATGGACCATGTTTATCCATATTGGAGAACCATATCTCTTCGATATCTTGGAGTAGCCAGTTCGGTAACTTCTGCCATCTTTTTGTGACAACTTAGGATCCAAGTCCTTTTGTTCCATCTTCCCTTGTTGCTTTGGGTTGAGAGCTACAATAATCTGCCCAAAATTAATTATTTGTTGAACTTGAGCAGCTTCTTTCTCCCTTTTCATTTGGATGTGAGAGTCACTTCCCGAATCACCTGGTTCTGATTTACTCTGATCTTTTTCATCGGGATTTCTTCTCCAAACCCAATTACCTTTCTTACTGACAGATGTGAAAGGTAAACCTTGCCTTGCTATACCTCTAGCTTGGCCACTCTCAAAATTCTTTTGTCTATTTCTCATTCGCTGGAAACGCCTCTTGATGGTTCTATAAGACGCTTGTCCCGGCGCTTTAACTGTTGACCATTTCCCCTCGGGAGGGTCATACGGTACCTTAACTGTTTTTCTTCTGTGGATTTCCTGAGATATTAATGGTGGCGGATCATCGAACTCATCTCCCCAACCAGTTGGCTCAACTGGCAATGATGGAGGTGGATAATCGTCTGTATTTCCATAATAGACCACATAGTCAAACTTCCCACTAGGTTCTCCAAGCAATCCAACCTTGGGATCACCTTCTTTATATCGCTGCTATAAACTCTTTTTCTTTGCAGACTTTGGTAATGTTTCGTTTTCTTCATGAACTTGCGTATCCAGCTCTCGAATTGGCGGGGCAAATCGAGATGAATCAGGGTGATATTCCTTCCTCTCATGCTTATGACCAACATCTTTTCTTTCTAGCACCTGTGCCGTCTGCCTTGGGTAAATTGCCTCCTCTCTTGTTTGTACTGAAGAATTTTCAGTAGCTACAATCTCAGATCTTACTCGTGGTCCGCTTATCCTGCGAACAAATGATCCCAATCGGTATCTCCCTCTCGTTCCCCTCATGAATTGGAACCTGGGAAACTCCCGATCTTGCCGAGTCAATTCCTGGTGACAGCGAGTGCAAAGTTGTTTGTTGTCCTCGTCTGTTGCCTCTCGTATATTAACCATGTTGATCATGTTCGGGAAAGGGTCTGCGTCTACTTCCATTAGGGCCTTGCCTTTGTCTTCGGCAAATTTAATCTTGCCTTGGCGAATTGCCTCCTGGATTATTTTTCTAAACACAATGCAATTTACCGTATCATGAGTTGTAGAGTGATGCCATTTGCAATATCTCTTATCTGCTATTTCCTCCTTTGATGGGATTACTTGTCCTTTAGATAATTTGATCATTCCATCTTTCAATAACAGGTCAAATATCTCATCTAACTTATAAATATCAAAGGAATAATTGTTGGTCTCCTTAGCCTTGAACTTGGATACATCCCTTACCCTGGCCGGTTTAAGTTTTGGGCACACATATGATTTTTCAAGTACCATAGTTGCTACGGCTATCTCATTCTCCTCCTCAACTATCCCACCATGTTCGGTACTTTCAGCAAATGCAACTGCCTGCCGATTGTCCTTATTCGGCTTCTTATCTTTCTCCTTCAACAAGTGTTCATACTTAGAAACCCGAACGTTCAACTGAAAGAGATCGTCAAAGGCTTGTCCTTCAAATCTTTCCTTAAGGTTAAACCTCAAACCGTTAAAAGCCAAATCTGTGAATTCCTTCTCAGTGAGTGATGTTAAACATCGGTTTCTGGATTTCTTGAAACGGGCAATAAACTGATCTACCGTCTCGGTGTTATACTGATATATCCTAGCCAAATCGGCTACCGTTACCTCTAGTACTGTTCGGTAAAACTGAGAATGAAATTGCCTTTCCATCTCGGCCCATGTTTGAATAGAATTCGCAGGCAAATTTGTATATCAAGTAAACGCTGTTCTTGAGAAAGACAATGGGAACAACCTTAACCTTAGATATTCATTAGTTCCAGCTTCTCCACATTGTGCCAGGAATCGACCCACATGTTCTACAGTTGACTGATCTTCCTCTCCAGTAAATACAGCAAAGTCTGGCATTTTGAAACCTCTTGGATATGGTATGTTATCAACCCAATCGGGATGTAGCTTCCTATATACTGGCCTTGGCAATCCTCTCTCTGCTCCCAATTATTGCATTACCAGTTCTGCAACTCTATCTGGGTTCCATGGTCTTAAATTCTGCTGGCCTAACCAAGGATCTTGACTCCTAGGATCAAACTGTTGAGGTCGATTCACCCATTGCTGCTCCATGTTAAAATTAACAGGTGGTGGTGGCCTATAAAGAGGGTTTTCTATCACATGATGATATGGTTGAGGCGCAGGTGGCCTGATATGATCAACATTAGGCATATTTACTGGTGGAGGTACATTCATCACTGGTGGTGCATTTGTGACCATGGGATTAACCAAATTAACATCATTCGGGACATTTTGAGGGAAACTATAAGCACTCACACCATTCACCAGGTTTATAGGGGTAGGATTCTCTGGCCTTGGTATAATCCTGACAGGAGGTTGAGAATTTGATCCCCCATTACCGTTATACCCCATATGAGGAGGTCTCGATGTTGGTGGGAACGATGTTGTTCCAAGAGGATTTGCATAAAATGGTGGAACTTGAGAAGATGAACCGGGACGCGATATTACCTCATTTATAGCATTGATCACCATAGGCTTTATCACATCAGTCACATGTCGCACTATATGATTGGTAAGGTCGTTCTGCTGTTCCTCAAACATCCTTTTCATCGTGGCTACCAAGGTATTATCTGGTGTCAACGCGCGGGCTTGTTCTTCAGTTAATTGCCGAGGAATATCGACATTTTCGTCTACTTGATTAGCCGCAGAATGCTCAGAACGTGCTCCTTCAACTGGATTGTTGACGTTACCTACCGATATTCCTTCAGATTGCCTGGTTCTCACCATTTCTTCAAATCTTACCACGCATGTCCCACCGGGCGTGCCAAAAAGATGTTCACTCGTTTTACGACGAGGAATATCCTTCACCGAAATTTCGATCTTCGATTTTTTTATTAAGGTAGGTTCTGTGGTTTGACTACTAGGAGAGTTGTGGTGAAACGTAAAGTGTAACACAGGATTGTATGGAATGGATAGAAATTTGATGGATTGAAAATGGATCTAGGCTAAACAGAGTTTCAAGCTACGTTACAATACTCCTACGAAAGCTGTAGATGACTCGAAAGTTAACTAGAGCTACAGGAAGCTGTAAATACAGGAAGTAAAGATGCATAGGAAACTAAAGTACAGATAAGCTTGAGTGTTTTTGCAGTATTGTTCGTCCTCTTTCTTCTTTGTTTCCTCTGAGTATTTGTATCTCCCCCCTATCCTGCAACTGCTCGTAGGTTACTTCCATGTTTTCAAACTTTGAATATTTTGGCGCTTCCAATAACTGCTTTTCTAACCACGTTTTTTCCAGTTTTATTGTCCGCCAAAACTTGATCTCAACCGCTAAGATGATTTCAAATCTGGACAAGTAACTTCCCATAATATGCTCATGCTCACTATCCCCACTTCTGCTCGTAACTTCCTGCTGTCGTGATTTACATGATTGGACTGTGATTCTTCAGTGTATTCCCGAAGTGTGAACCTCCCGAATTTCGGGAAAGTGTCGTTGTCCTGAGGTATAAATATTCCAATGTCCCAAACTATAATTCTCTATATTTCGGTAAGTATACATATTTTTATCAACTACCGAATTCGGGACACGATACCATTTACACTTGCTTCTCCACATGTTTCCGAATTTGATCTAGACGTGTTTCGGCAGATGGTTGATTTCCATTATACGCCATATTCGGCATTAAAGCCGATTCGGCACTTATGCCGATTCTTATTTTGGTATCAACAGTATCCTTCTTTTTATGTTCAAGGGGATTTAGCCGTAGTCTGTAGTAATACTGACACGTGAGTGATGTTGTTCTTCTTTCTGCTGATGCCAAACCTTGAGAACGAGTGCTGCAAAAAATATGGAAAGAGCAGGAAGTTGTTCTATCTTTCCCAAGTGGCAAACACAGTAAGGTAGCTCTCAACAACCAATTCTACGGATGTGACAAATCGGCTGAGAGTCAGTGATGACTCGCGTTCGGAGAATATGCCACCTAAACAAGAATCTTCAGGTTCAGCTTCATCTTCACTGAATCAAATAATAACGGAGGCCATAAATGAAGAAGTTCCTAGTAGCATCAGCTTGGAGAATCCTCCTTGTGTTTCCTCAGTGCAAAGTTCTACTGCAGCTGCAAGGTTGCCACTAATCCTTCCTTCTCTGAGTTTATGAAAGGCAGAAAGGCAAGGGATAGAGCGGTTGATAAATTGCCGAAGACAGTCGAGAAGAATATGGAAAAAAGGATGAGGTTGCGGTTGCGGTAGGGTCTCTGTTCCACAATTTTGCTCATCTCAATTGCCTCCTTTAGCTTAGAAATTAACTAGCATTGGCAGTTTCATTCATTGATTTCTTCCGTACATCTCCTGCTTACAAGATCTCATTTTGATCGCAAAAAGTGTAATTATGTAAGCAAACTTCATTTTGTCTATGGTTCTGTTTATAGTTTTACAGTCACGCCTCAGGTCTTTCATTCTTTTCAAATAACAGTTTGCTAAATGCTCGACCATCCGGTAAATTTGGTCTACTCAACAATTTCTAAGAAATTGTCACAGAATCCACCTCTTTGAAGCATCGAAGTTTCGCAAGTCAGGACCGGTGAAGCAAATGGTGCTATAATATGTGTAAGCTCAACTGCCTCCCATGCGAAATACTACCTTCTACTGAGATTGGTGAACTGGAATTACATGAAATACAAATTGAAGTGAACGTTACGTTAGACAACATCATCAGGTAAGTGGCAATTTTCCAATGAAGTTGGAGTTGAGACTTCCCAATTAAAGATGATCCTCAAACTCAAATGCTGAGGTAACAAAGGAAATGACTTTCGCATCAGGATCATCAAGCTTCTTGATTATTTTGCCATCAGCTCCTACATTCACAACACTTGCTTTTGTGTGCGCTCCTTTCACTTTCTTGATAATACTTGGGAATGTTGCTATGAAGTGCTTGGCTGCCTTGGAGGCGTGCACAAACTCCCACCGTTCAGATGTCAACTGCACCAATTTACAAAGAGCAGTGAAAGATCATCAGAAAAACGAGTCCAATAGGAGCCGAACTTGTTACAATTGCATGTCTGTAATTTTGCCCAAAATCAGGGGCATTCAATGGTTGTGTCTGATTCGGAGCACTAGTCATGTTGGGTTTAGATATTTAGTTATTAAGTGCGAAAATTTAGCGCATATACCTGCACTAGGGCAATCCAAAAAGATCCATCCAGGGCAAGATTGATGTTGTCAGGTCCGCCAGGAAGATTGTCGACGAAAATTTCCGTTTTTCCTTCTACATCTCCCTTCAGCCAATGCTTCAAACATCTAAATCTGCGAAACATACATATGCGCATAAACAAATTGGATCACATTGTTTTCCTTTTTTTCCCCTGAAATTGCATCAAAATCTATATTTTCAAGAAAAATGACAATATATAAGTTCTATAAATTGGGCATTAGTAGGTGTACTCACTTCCAAGTTTCACAAACGATGAGAAAATCTTCGTCCCTAGAGAGAGCAACACCATTTGCAAGGCCCAACTTGTCAACAACAATCGAAGATTGCAATGATGAAGGGTCGAATTTGAGAAGCTGACCATGAGGTTTCGCCTCAAGGATGTCCAAGAACAGATTGGGGATGTCGAACTTGGTGCTACTTACGCTGAAATACAGACTTCCATCCGATGCTTCGATGACGTCGTTCGCAAATCTATATGTAGCAATCATTGTAAAAAAAAATAACATGATTTTGTAAATAGATTGCTCTCTATGCTTTCGTCAGCTTTTATGATTTAAGATAATTAAACTACTCCACTATCTATGCTCTTATTAGGTAGACCTATTCACGAGGCTAGCGATCTCATCGGCCCGAGTCCTCCACGTGCCTCCAATTCTAATAACAATTCCTTATGATCTATTAAACTTTCTTGATATCTTTAAAGAACAAGAGAATGTAATCTCACAAGAGGTCAATGATGTGCAAACTGGTGCCTTTCTCCATATGCACCATGGTCTCTTGTCCACTTCCCTTTGTGAGGAAGAGGTCGAGAAAAAATCTCAGAACCAACGCGAATCGATCGACAAAAGGACAATCAACATGACTGCAACATTCGTGTTGTTGTCTGGACACTATTGAACAAAGACCCATCACACGTTGTTGTCGATCACAAGAGAGGAAAAAGAAAGAAAGATTCCCTAAAGCATTAGCCAAACATGGCACACCATGGCAATGAAAAAGCTGCCATTCTTGCAAGTTGTCTTCTTTTGACTGAGTCGCATAAAGGCTTACGCGTGGGTTATTCTTAAGCTGTCACGTTTTACCTCGATCGCAATTCTTGCAAGTTGTCTTCCTATGACCTAGGCCATTGACCTGAAATGCGGCAATTACAGAGAGAGACAGAGAGACAGACAGACAGACAGACAGAGAGCAAGGCTAAGCGGGTCAAGGGGGCAAAGAGGTAGGGAGAAGACATAAAAAAATTACAGTTTTGGACTCGGTTTATTTCGAGAAAAATAAATAATTTAAAAAATATTTTCAAAAAATGATCACTTATATAACTTATGAAAATGAATTGACGAATTTAAAAATAAATTATTACCGATAATGAAAATATATTTCATTAACTAATTATTTCAAATAATACAAATAATTATTTTTCATAAAATGTTTTCCACATCGTTCTTTTTTCTGCTAAGCAAACGGAACCTTAGTTGTTTGGAGTGTCTATGCGCGCACGGCCCCATGCGTCAATTTGGTGAAATCAGAATATATTTTGTAACATTACGTAATCCAAGTATTCTCAATTGATTGCTGATTGTCAACTATTTTATAAAGAGATACGTTTAATGCGCAAATTTATCCCCTCCTCCAAAATTTAGATCATGATACCAATACTTTTGAAAAAATTACTCTCCAAATCTTTCTCTAAAAGAATATGGAATTCTACGTGTTTTCTTTTTCTTTTTCAATTTGATTGACCCATTTCAATGGAACAATATACCTTTCAATCTAGTCTACATATTCCAACCAAAAAAAAAAACATTAGTCTAAATAATTGCATTTTCTTCTATAATATCCATACTCGTCGTGGAACATGATTATTTTTCATGTTCTATAATTTTGCCCCTTAAACTTGAAAGTTAGATAAGCACCAACCTATTGGTAATACTACGCTTGCGAATTCTCTTAGGGTCACCCCAGAAAAACATATCCGTGTGTTTCCGGTAATTAAATGGTGTTTGTGGGACAGGACGACTACCACATCCAATGGGGATTATTCGGTAGTCAAAGAACTCTGAACACCCCATTAATATAAAACAAAAAGGGAAAAGAAAAAACTACTGGTAAACAAAATGATTAAAAAAAAAAAAGCATTACCTTAATTGAGATCCATTAAAATGTGATAAGAGGACGTTCGCATGACCATCTGCATCAACCCAGATCAAACCCTGGCCAAATCACATCATCGAGAGCTTACAAATAAGCACTTCACAATTGGTTTCTTCATAAACCAAGATCATCTTCTCTTATATCTTATCATGCATACCTTTTCAGCATCACACACAATGATACCACCTCTCCTGGTTGCTGTAATCCCCACGAGTGTCTGACTGTTCAACATGGTCCAGTTTTCCCAGGACCCATCTCTGTGCAACCTCTTGATCCAACCATCTCTAGTCGCAGTGTAGAGCACGCCATTTTCGTCTACGCATGCGTCTTCCGGACCTTTCACTATACCCTCTCCGAGTTTACGCACACCCTGCACGAACCAAACAGCTTTTAAATTAATGAAGAACCGAGAAATCGAAGAAATGACAGTTAGAAACTCGTGTGATGGAGCTTTTCTAAGTACCTGCAAGTGGGTGTTCGTGGGAAGAGAAGCAAGGGACGATGGTTCTGGTAAATGGAGCACGTCGGGAGATATCGGCGAAAAGACGATTATTTGGAGTGCTATGGCGAGGAGGCAAGCAAAGACGAAGCCCGAAAATGGCGGCAAAAATCGCCTCAAGAAGCCAAGTAGAGCCATGGTTATAGAGTATGAAAGAGAGACAGGGATTAACTCTAGAAGGAGATATGGTTTTGACGGGAATTTATGCAGCTGTACTTAGTTTAAGAGAGAACCGTGAATAGATAAGATGGGTTTGAATTTTTAACCGAGGGCAAGAAAGAGACATGTTGTAATATATCGCGGAAGCTGACTGGATCTTTCTTATTAAATCAAGAGCGAGAGAAATCAACAAAGAAGCAAAGTGAGGAATGCTAACGAACACGAGAGATTTACGTGATTCAAATTTTTCTAATTAACCTACTCCACAGGGAAAGCCGGCCGCCAATAATCCACTAATTAAACGAAGAATTACTCTTACAACCGTTCCCGCACCCAAGTGTTTCACAGCCCGAGAATATACACCCAAATGTGCAGTGTTTACAAAAACAACTTAGCCTGGATTTAGAACTCTCAGCACAAATCACCGTGTTACTTGCTCGTACGTGCGGCCAAACAAAGGAACCAAAAGCAAGTGATTGTTGCGTTCTTCCTTTCTTTGCTCCAATGTCCCACCAATCTATGAAACACCCTATGTATAATTGCAAGAAGTCCAAATCTTGACTCAGTCAAAAAAACAAATCTTAACCTTTTCCATTTCTTGTGGCCAGGGGGAGATGTACACTGCCGTGACTGCACGGCTCTTTAAATGAATTCAACTTTGGTCTCTTAATCGCCATTGAAAAATCCAAGCATGACGTCGGTGAAGAAAAGGCAATTCAAGTTGGAATCAAAGTCTAACTAAGATGGTCGAAAGTCCGAGGTCTCAAACTCGAAAAATAATTTAACAGGACAAGGTCGTAAGCGGTGAGTGAGAGCAAATGTCAAAGAAATTTTGGAGCTCATTGCATGAATCAATAGTGGCGTGTGTTGACAAAGCAGGATTTCTAACAAAACTAGAAGAGATATTTATATTAGGTTCGCCTTCAAAATCTTCAGCTGAGATTATAATTATATATAGAAAATGCATCAGTGCTGACGAGGAGGAAACTCACCATCATATCAAAAACACTACCTGCGAAATAATACTCCGGTTGTTATTGACACACCCATTACTCTTGATACCCCAAACTCTCTTCGTAAATCAAATGCTTAAAGATTTCCAATACTCAATTCCCTCTTGTAAATCCGTATTCAGCCTTTGCTACGCATCCTCTTCTCCCTACATTCTATAAGAAAATTCATCCAATATGCTCCAAAAGAAGTAAAAGAGTATGTTCAATCAACTCGTTTTGATCAACATCCTATCTCGGCCACTTAGCAAGAACACTTTGTCAATTTACAAAATCCCCCAAAATTCTGGCTTAAGTGGCTTACTTGAGGTTACACGCACCTACACTTTGGTACTACTCGCCTTGCTTTGACTTTTCATGACCATAAAGGACTCCCTTTAGTGGCCCCATATGGTACTACTTGTTGCAAAAACAAGTAATCGAACAAAAAAATAAATTGTACAATGAAATAGGTCGAACACCAGATTTAAACACTCTCAACAAAGAATGGCACTATTTGTTGCTTTGACTTTTCGATAGAGGTGACCTACATCCACTAAGAGAGCAATAAAGAATTCCATTATATATTAAGCACTACAACGAACATTATAACTACACTCAAGTCATTAAAACACTCTCAGTGTTTCCTCACTCTTAATTACATCCAATAACTCACACAGTATATAGCCTCACAATTCCTCATGAAATAATTTCTCAATCTTACAAAAGAATTTGCAAATCTTACTCACAAGATTTAATTGGCTTCGACACTAAAAGTTCTCAAGGTGTAATTCACGAAGAAGTCTCTCTTAGATTTGGTCCAACTTAGCTAAGCCTGACTCTAATACCAATTGTTGAAAGCAAGCAACAGAAGTCCAATACCTTCACCCGGGGAGATCGCTAAGAGAGAGCCCAAATCCAAACTTGTCAACATATCCAGTTAAATCCACATTCATCCAAAAGCTTAAGTTAATGAGTTATGAGCTAACTATGATATATTAACTGCTCCACATCACACAAATTCTTTGACGTAGGATTTTCTAACGCAACTTACACATGCAACTCAACACTCCTCGACACTTAGTTTCTAGACTACCAACGTGCTTATATTGGAACAGTCAAAACCACTTTAAATTTAGAAATTGTGTTCATAATACTGTTTCCTAATTCAACAAGGCTTTTTCAGATCCACGTTTGCTTACCACTTTGAAGATTCATCTACAAATTGCTAGAGCCCCTTAGACTTTAGATTATGTTGTAGCAACATTCCATTACCAAATAGTGTCTAGAGTCAGGAACCCTGCTTTGGATCTGACTTTGCCCAAAAGAGAATATGCTCATGTGATCTCTGTTGATAATAATCAGGCACATTCGTGTGTCCATGTTCCCAACAGATCTCTCAAGCAGAGTTAGTCAAGCTTCTCCCAAACACGGGGTTGACTAACTATGAAATGCTTCACTAGAATACTCTACTGATCCAAGCAACAGAATCCAAGTTCACCAAGAATAAGGACGGCATAGTAGTCATATTTGGCCACTCCTAGGATGGAAACTCGCTCCTCCATATTTCTTACAATCTTGATGATGCAGCCGTACATCCCTGAAGATGAAGGTGAAGGTGAAAGGCTTGAAATAGTGTTTTAATTTTGAAGGACGTCCTAGTGTCTATTTCAAGGATCCCTTATCAATACATTGGCCGTGGGCCCTAGACTGCCAGTGCAAATTATGTCTAGCCCCAATTGAAGAAAAGGATGACAGGCCATCAAGAAAAAATAAAAAACCCCGCTCATCTAGGCATGATTTCTTCCAAAAGTGGGAAAACGGCGATCCATCTATTGGACCCTTTGGAGAAGATGGTGGTAAGTACAAATTTTTGGTGTCTTACGGACCATTCAAGCATGATACCTCTCCGTTTTGAAACTTCTCCTCCATCTTGACCTAAATACAAGCCCCCTCCTCCTAAGGCAAAACTTCACTCGTTTAAGCCCGTGTCTCCATTCTATAAACCCATCCTCAAATGGGTTAAGAAAATTCCCCACTATGACAAGCGTCTTGCACGATTCTGCAACTAGGAAACAAGACCAACTCCCCCACCTACTTTGCCCAATGTTTCTAATTTGATTCCCATGACAATTTTTCCTTACAACCAAACACAGGAATATATATTCTATTCAGCTCCATTCCTATAATTCATCAAACAAAAATACCAGAGTCATCGTTCCATTCCATTCCTTTCTATTCTCTGATAACATTTTATTCCTCTCTACCAAACATAACATAGAAAAAAATAAGTTTGTGATGGGGAGTCTCCCCATTTAAACGTTGTCTTGTGAAATTGGAGTATATCAATGAAATAATTTATAATTCTAGTCCGCGATTTTGTAAGTGATCTGAACTCGGGATCTTCGAGTGTAGCCTAACTCCTACCTTGGCACTCCAGTGAAGTTTTCGCACCAGGAAGTTATTCATGGTCTATACATCATGTGGACCAAGATCATCCGAGCCATTAAATCTTGTGATCCAACTTTGGGGTCCACATGATCATTCATTTAAGAGGGACTCTAACTATAATATGATTTAAAGATTACATTTCGATGGAACCACAATCTATCATGTAATCCATGAGCAATTCAGAATCATACCCATGCACGTGGGTTCTTTAGATTTCGCGGATCCTCCAACTCCTGTTCAAGACATTGTTACAATATGATAAGTATTCCTTGCCATTATTAGCGATCTTTTAATATAATACAAGTAGCGATCCTCATGTTTACGTATGAATATGCTAAGTTAGTAAAGGTCACAGTTGCCAAAATCACGATTTGTTGTCCCCTTCCAGTGAGCAGTAGTCAGCTGCTCTCCAACTGTTTGTTGAATTTCCAAGCCCACCATCCTACTAAATTATTACCAAATTCATCAATGATTGACAACCCACTAGATACGTTACCAAATAGCAAAGCCCAGATAGAGTCCTCCACGAACCCCACCACGCAAAGTATCTACACGTTTGAGACAAATAGATAAAACCATCATGGTCACGGACCCTGATGAAATATACTACTCTTTTCCCCATATCATAGAGTCACTTTTATCAATGTGGTGGTAAATAGAACTAATCACAATGTAAAAATTTGTGCAAAGTGAACTTTCTTCTTCGTTTATTTAAATGTAATGTGAGACCCGTTATGATTTCTTGAAATATGAATTTTTATTCACGAATATTATGTCCCTACTCCACATGGAAACAACTCTCATGATAACGAAATGAAGCATCATGCCCACATAATATAAACCCCACACAAATCTTCGTCCATTTTTTTCTCCTCCTCCACCTTCCCAACATGTTATATTAGAGAAGGACAATTTCGACTCAATGTTATCTCACAAGCTATGGCCTTCTCAGGCTCAGAGACATCATCACAAGCCTCACCGCCAACACTAACGCCAACACCACCACCACCACTGACAACGACGACGACGACGACGACGACGGCAAAGGCACCTCCTTTGATTGAAGTGGAGACTGCAAAATGTGTTTCTTGTGGATTCACAGAAGAATGCACCCCTGCATATATCCTCCGAATTCGAGAACAGTACCAAGGAAGATGGATTTGTGGGCTCTGCATTCAGGTGGTGAAGGATGAGGTCTTGAGAGCAGACAGGCTCATATCCACTGAAGAGGCATTGAATAGGCACATCAGCTTTTGCAATAAGTTCAAGTCATCCAATCCCATGAAGGAGACAGAGCACCCCATCTTTGCCATGGGGAAACTGATCCGGCGCAGCTTGGATTCGCCGAGGACCCTCCGGTCAAATTCAAGCACTGCTTTGCAAGGGATCGATGCAGTCGGGAGAATCACTACACCAGCACTTCTTCGGTCAGGGAGCTGCTTCTCTTCTATATCCAGTTGATTGAGGTAAAATATATATGTATATACATGGAGCCGAGGAACTCTGCTTCTGGTATAGGCATCCAGGTTTTATGCTCTTCCTGTAATTCGAATTTCTGGATGATGAACTGAATTTGGCTATGCATATGCTGATTTTTTATGTACATGCAATACCCTGATCTGGAGTCTTAGTTAGGTATTCTCAAGTAGTTTTGTTGATGATTTTATCTTCGTACATACTTCTTGCTTGGAGAATTCGAAGTCTTTGATGCTTAAATTTTCTGCAAAAGAGGGTTTCATATCCATGCCAAGAATTCACGTCCATGTGCTTTCGGTTTCAATAGAAGGAAACGTTGAGAAAAACCATCACCAATCCACCAAGCAACGTCCATAAAGTTTATCTCTGAAAAGTTCACTTCAGTTTCTGTTATTTTATTGTGGATTTTTTTCTTTTCCCAAGTGATTCTGACTAGTTTGATGAATGTAATTTTCAAGGGAAAGCAAATTTTAGTTAGACAACCTTGTAGATGAGTTTTACTCATGGAAGGAAAAAGAAGAGAAGATATCTTCTTAGTTCCCACGTCTCTCTGATGAAAAGTTGGCTGGATGATGAACTTGGCTGGTTTTTTCTGGAAAATTCTGGTAAGGCCAGTTGTGTTAGATGGATCAGGATTTCAATTTGGAAAGTAGTAAAAGTATGAGGAAAGAGACGTGTGCTGAAAAGTTAAAAGAATGCACGAAATGCATGGTGACCACTGCACTGACCCAGGATGAAATTGCAAAGAAGATTCGTCTGCTGATAGCTATATATGGCAATGTCCAGGACACAGAACATGCTTTTATTACTTTTGTTACTAGCACACAGGGGATTTGCAAGAATTTTTCATGTGGGAATGATGTCTCTCTCACTGTCGCAATCTCACTCCTCTTGGTCTGGTCTACCGTGAAGAGAGTGGACATGCTCACTTGCTCATTGAGCTTGATCAGTTCACTGTTAGTATTAAAGTCCATGACTTGTGTCATCGTGTTCCATGTTGCTTTGCGGCTTAAAGCTTCTGGTTATGTCTAGACAAAAGTTTTTGTCGGTGTGAACTCTTACAGAACATGGTGGGACAGGGGAGGCTTTTCGGTCTGGCTTAAAGACATACATCTCCACACTTCTCTAGCGTATCATAGTTAAATTGATTACTACACCATAAGACTACAATCGACTGATGACATGATCCCATGATATTGCATTGTTCTTGTAACCTCCATGAAGAACTGCATGTTTGGTCTTGAATGAGTTGCTATTGTAAGCCTCGTGCGTTCTGGCACGTCTAGAAGCAAATGTTTGTCAGTTCCTCCTCTCATGTTCAAATAATAGGACCAGCTTTCCTTGGATTAAGGTTTCCCACAGACCACAAAAGTAAATTCGTGTGGCTTATGTGGCTGGATTTGGAAGTATGTTGTCACTTGCGTTTCTGTGAAGTTACCAACTCTAGGTCCAGCAAGTTCGTTGTCACATGAAATTGCCATTTAGTCCATCCTTAGGTTCTGTGAATTTTTCCTTCCTCTTCCTTTCTCCTTCTTGTTAAAGGTGAGGCAATGTGTCATGTGGTAGATTACCCTACCTTGCTGATTCTTTATCATCCTCGGGTGAATTTTGTGGTAGTGTCGGCATTAGGTTCAAAATTTGAATTCAAACGGAAAGAAGGTAATGACTCAAATCAGGTCATGACAATAAACTTAATCTGTAAGACCCAATCGATTGAATGCCTAACTAGCTCATCGATCATGAAGGCCATCGCAATATAATTGACCCACAAGACCCACTGATGGAAAGCCTAATCAGATTGTCGATCATAAGTTTTCAGTGGCCATAATTTAAGTGGAGGACATGACTCATGTCACAGTCGATCCACTCGAAGGATTTGCAAAAGTTGAAAATTGAACTAAGGAGGATCCATTGACCGGGATTAACCGTAGCTAAAGAATTGGTGGCCATTAAAAATCATCTCTAGAGCGACACGCAAGTCAAGGCAGTCCGAGATTCTTACAAAGGAGGATCATAATGCATAATGAAATGACCCATTTAAAGACACGACAATAAGTAATCACATAGCATCAATCAGATAATTCACAACAAAAACAATAAATAAATCACAAAGCGCACATCATATTTTGAATGTGAGATTCATAACATATTGATTTGTTAGGTTTTGTCTGAGTTTGAATATAAAATTCGGATTAAATTGGGTTTTTGGCTTTAGTCCCTACCTTTGATTATAAAAGCTTTCCAATCATAATTTGTAAGTTTTTTACCATCTCTACGCATTCCAGTCATGTCCATTAAGAAATTTATGTTTAATTTGAGTCATTGAGCAAGCATATGGCATTCCAAAATGTAAGCCGTCTGATTACATTCAATAAAATATCATGCAATTTCATTATTTGATTCCAATATACAGGGGTGCATTATTTTAGCAGTTCAAATTTTATAGTCCTTGAGGCTTCGAGCCATATTGGAATCCATTTACTTTTGATTTGAACTCAAATTTGACACTTTGACTGGCCATCTCGATCATCCTCGATTGGACTTTAATCAGTATATGCAACCATTGAATTTCTGGCGACCCCAACTTGACAAAAATCTGCATAATAGGTAGTCACTAATTAAGAATATATCTTCGACCAAAAAAAATTAAGAATATATCGAAAAAAAGTATTTGAAGACCTTAGAAATGAAATAATTTTGTAAATTGATTTTTTGTATGACTTAAGCAAAAATTATTGACGACGTTAAAAATGAAGAGAGAACCCACGAAATTCTCGCATCACTAGGAAAATATACATGCATGAAATCTATCATTATCATTGCCAAAGTTTATATTTTGCATCTTCATGTGAGCCTAGTATTACCTTTCAACAAGATTCTTCTTTTCTTTTTGAAGTGATTAAGATTGCATTATGCTGCTTGTACATAATGAAAGACCATTTTTTGGCAGTTGTAGCTTAAAATTAAACGATACCTTCCACCACCTTTTACAAACTTGAATAAAGTCAAATCTTTTTTTCCCATCAAAGATGGGCAATCCATTTCTAAACTAAGAGCTCGCCAGGAATTACATCCTCGAGAGATTATGCTCCGCTCACGAGTCACGACTAAGTTTCAGACTTTTTAAGGCCCTTTCTAAAGGGCGAGGACCCTAATTCACTACTACGATCGGGGGATGTCAAATCCGTTGTCGTATCCACAGACACTTGATGCGATTGAAGGAGATGCAAGTGTGAGGAGCAGGAGTAATCAGATCCCGGCCAATCCGGTTCCCACCTGGGTACCGAGAACCGGACCGATGGAACCAACTCCCGGTTCCATCGGTCCGGTTCCCAAGTGGGTAAATGGAACCAATGGCTCCCTCCACTGTCACCACCGGCAGAGCGCCTCTCATGCTTCTAAACCGAGCCACTCCTTCCGGCATCGCTCGTGATCATTTTACTCCTTGTCCGTCTAGATATGGCCTCGTTCGTGATTCGCAAGGTGGTACATCCACAAATTTGGCGAGCCTGGACAATGGAGGAATGGCTCAGCTTGGACAAGTCACTAGTCCGGCTCTAGAGTTGTGCCTCCAGATCTCGCCTGCAAACTTCTAGATGGCAGGTCGTCCATGGCCGTGAGCGACGACAAAGAGGGCTTGGCTTGGACGCGCGAGCCTGGATGACTACGCCGGCAACTCCCCTAGTCTAGATGCAGTGCGAACTTCCAGATCTAGAGCTCGCGACAACAGAGAGGACCGAAGGGGTGGCTCAACTTTGACGAGCGACACCAACGATGACCATGGATGAACAAATTTCTCTTAGCAACGAAGCGAAGAAGCTAACTCTCCGAGCAAGCAGGCAGAGTGGGAGTAGCAAGCAAGGTTTTTTCAGATTTGTAAGAAATAAAAAATAATAATAATTGGTCCGGCCCGAGTGGGCAATCCCACCCTTGGAACAACGAATTGGAACGAAATTCACAAATTACAATTTTATGGAACTGGGAATCGGACTGATAATCTCGGAAATGGCCCAAAATCGGTTGACTCGGGCCGATCCGAGCGGCTCCTTTTGCTCGCCCCTAGCGAGGAGTCGAACCACGTAGTACGTACCTCTTCATTGCGTTCCGCGACGATGGCAACCCGAACCATGATGTCGTCGGCATAATTAGGTATGGGCTCGATTACCCAAAAAGCCCAATAGGAATCTCCAAAGGGCCCAAATAAGCCCATTCAAGCCAAAAAAACTTAAAAAAAATCGATGTATCTTTCGTAATGGTCGATGTACCTAATCTAACAGTCCCGTCTCTTCGTCCTCTGTCTCAAACTCGAACAGACACGACTCTGTTTCTCTCTCTCTCTCTCTCTCTCTCTCTCTCTCTCTCTCTATCCTCTGTGTGTAAGGCTCGAACAAGAAGAGGGCGAAGATGATGCACATGACCCTCTACTGGAGCAGGTACGTCACCCTCCTCTTCGATTCATGGCGGACCGACTCCTGGCCCAGCTACCTCCTCTCCCTCGCCGCCTGCTTCCTCTTCTCCGCCTTCTACCAGTACCTCGAGGACCGCCGCCTCCGCTTCAGATCCCTCGCGTCCTCCTCCTCCGCCGCCGCCGCCGCGTCCCCCCCGCCAGCCTCTGCGGCCGCCGCCGAGGCGTCCCCGCTCCTCCAGAAGGCCGGCGCATCCGGGCTGGCCAGATCCGCGAGGGTCGGGGCGGCGCTGCTCTTCGGGGCCAACTCGGCGATCGGATACCTGCTGATGCTGGCGATCATGTCGTTCAACGGTGGGGTGTTCCTGGCCATCGTCGCGGGGCTGACGGTGGGTTACTACGTGTTCAGGTTCGCGGACGAGGGTGGGGCCGTGGTTGTGGATAATCCGTGCGCCTGCGCTTGAGGTTGTCCCTGCTCCTCCTCCTCCTCAAAAAAATCTGTTATTTTTCAACTGTCTTTTGTCCGATCTCCTCTGTTTCTCGTCGTTGTAATTTCATCTCTGAATCTGTTGTATCAATCCGCGAACGTCGACGCGAAACATAGTTCTTGGATCTGAATGAATGATCTTGTTTGTGTATACGAAATCATCACGGGCATTTCGAATTTCTTTTGTCTTTTCGATTCAATCCCGTTTTGAATCTCCTCGGGTGCAAGAAGCAGAGCATGAATCCGGGTTGCGTCGGATGGAAGGAAGCGCGTTCTTGGTGGGGACCCATTAGCTTTCTGCAACGTCCAATGAAAATTCCATGAGTGGAGTGGAGAGAAAGATCCAAGAAGCCCACGCAACAACATTTCTTGTCGGGTTGTGCTTCTTCGACCATGGATTCTGCAGTACGAGTCCCAAGCTTGCAGTACGAGGTGGTTTCGGTGGATCGTTCGTAGTACAAGAAGACAATAGTAGTACTGGTTTCCACCAAAAGGTAGTACAGAGGGGGAAACTCGATTTTAGATTTGTCATTGCTAAATCGGAAATTCTATAGGATCGGCGCATAGCTGCACAAGTGCGTGAGTCGAACTCGTGATGGTTTTTCGAGTGATTTCGACCGATCGTCCGAAGTTGATCTTAGTATATCATTGATACGGTTTTCCTATCGCAAAGATCTAACAAGCATCGGCGAGTCGGATTCTATCTTGATACGAAGTCTATGTCACTGCGCAATTGGAAACTGCCCCCCAACTATCTAATGCTTGTGTAAATGCAATTCCAATCATTGTAGCAACTGTCTGAATTTCCCCATTTTACATTTGCATATTAGGAAGCCAAACAACTCTTTAGGGATGTCATCATGTGAATATGGAAATGTAATTGGTGAATGTCCGAAAAAAGATGTGGGTTTTTTTCCAAAAGTTAGTAAGGCTAGAGCAATTTAAGTTGTGCAATCCATCTAAGGGATCATTGACAAGAGAAAAAGTTTTCTGACAGGACAAGTTTCCATGCACATGGTGATCTGCAGCTTCTATTGCAGACTTCCCATTTCTGGGTTGAGTTCCTCTCTTCTCTCTCGCTAGTCCCTCCATTTCGGGTCAGTCCCTATTAATTAGAGCAAAAGCTGAGAATGTCTCCCTCTCTTTGGGCGTGTTGATGAAGACACCTAGAATTCCCTTTCAGTGGCCTAACTGGGCCCAAAAAAAGAACAAATTGGTTGGACATCAAGCGCATCTTTGTGCAACCCTCTTTTGGTTGGGACCATTGAAAGTCCATCGAAGTTGCATTTATGCTGAAAAGTTTCAGATGGGTTCATTTGTGGATAAATGTTCAACCATCCAGGTCATCTATAATTAAAGCCGAAAAGAAAAATAAGCTACTTTTGTTGGTCAAATCTTGAGAAGAAAGAAAGAAGTTCGATCAACCTTTGCGTGGTTAACTAGTACAGTATAAACTACGACAGTATAGACGTCCTACTCGGCATACTCATCCAAATACACTAATCAAGACTTGCTTTGACATTTCAAGAATCAGATGTACCAGTATCATACTTAAGTTCTTTTGTGGGAGAAAAATCTTTACTCGTGTTTACATGAATAAATTGACAATGTTGGAGAGAAAAGATAGTATAATCTCTCGTGTTCTTGGGCAATTTCCAGACTGTGAAATATACTGTTTATCAGGGTTTTGGGCAGTTCTGGCGTTTCAGCAGGCGGTGGATTCGCCATAGATGTGGTCAAGAACAGCAATGACTCCACAAACAAAGGCTTGGTCGATTCCCGCTTTTACAATCACACGATACACATCTTTGCTTGCCATCAATTCGCCCATCTCTTTCTGTATCTGTGATTCACATCAGAAACAAAGACAATGTCAAGTACTTTCACCTTAAATGAATCTAATTATAGAAGACAAACGATGGATGCTACTCTGGACTCTAGCTCAGAGAGACGTGTATATTCTCTGCGAAGCAATGTTAGGCACATTAGTCTAGTGATTCTTTGCCATTTCTATTTTGAAACCAGAAGTGCGTATGTCGACACAGTGGCTTCCTCCAGTATCTCTCTCCGTATCCTTACATTACTTTTCACCCGCATTGAGTTTGCACGGTACATCATGGTACGTTTCATGTGAATTTCACAAAAAAAGATAACATGGGTAAATGTGTTCTATGCGAACGAAAGCTAGTTAAGTGATTAAATGAGTTTCTGGGCGTCGAAGGAGGTCATCACTTTTTTCGCGATAGGTATAATTAGTATCTTAAAAGCTGAGTACTTTCTTATTGAGCAAACTTAGCAAATATTTTTCGGACCTGTGCTATTGTGTTGCCTCCAGAGTCAACAATGCTACAATCCCTACCAGGGAAGTGGCCCTTGATGTGGAAGATCCCATCTGGACCGTTGATTTTCCTGGGCTCCAGGGAGATTTTGATGGCAGAAGATGATGAGCTCCTGGAGAAGCATGATAATGAGGATGATGAATGGGGCTCCTTGATGCTGAACACCAGCTTCTGGGCACCTTCATAGTCATATGTGTAGCCCTTCCATTTCTTGTAGATGCTCATTGCTTGCACGATCCCTCCTGCCTAATTTAGAGAGAGAGAGATTAAAACTTGTCCAAAAGATTTGAGGGTTGTTCATCAAAATATCACAAGAATTATCATCAGGGGCTTGAATTTCGGACACTGACTATATTCATCAATAAGAAAGGACAATCTCAATTCAACATCTGACGAATTAGAGAAGAAATGCGCATATGAATTATGCGATGCTTTTTTACCTTGCGGCGGATGAGAAGGAGGGCGTCCCCGTCTCCGTCCTTCACGACAAGCTCGCCGCTCGTGCCAAGAACTCCACATCCATCGACCCGGAAAACCACTCGCGTGCTGCTGCAATCCGTCACCACGAACCCTCCACCGCTGACGGCATGCGGCCTCCTCCGAACGACCAGGGCAGCCTCCGTCGGCAAGCAATACACCTTGCTCACTATTGCCATCATCTGCGATCTCGGGCTCTCTTAACAGATCGTTCTTGTGAATACTGTTTCTTGCTTCATGAACGAGAGAAAAACTTTCGTGGTTAGATTATATAGAGGACGTCGTGGCTAGATTATATAGAGAACGTAAGTGCGTTGAAGATGGAGGAAAAGAAGAAGCGAGAATCAACATGATGTCTCATTTATTGATTTTTCAAATCCAAAGCTTATGCAGCATTTCAAACGGAGGTTTGGCGAGCTTTGAATATTTGGCAAAGCACGCGTCAATGATATCTTTTATTTCTGGAGCCCAGAGAATCTCTTTGGAGTGTTGGCATTCAACTACGCTTTTCTTGATGCAAATGAAGACTGCTGCTTCGCGTACAAGTTCAACTTATTGGACGAAAACACAAGATGTGCATATATATATGAGTCATAATCAAATTTAAATTAATTTTGTAAACTTAATCAATATCAGAAAATTAAGGATTCGTGTCTATATGAATCAATTTTCAATATTCTCGTAACTAATTAAGTGATTAATAAAGCAAATCGATCATATTCAAGCATCCAATAAAAATCTGCATCACCATTTTGCATGTTCTTTACACACATATATATAGTGGCTAGGCACTCTCTGCATCATAGGAAAGAGTTTATAAAGAGAAGGAAAGGTATAATCTTCTTAAGTGACAAAAGTACAGAAGAAGTTCTCTCATATGCTTTTTTGAAAAATGGGGCAGCTTAGGCAAAAGCACCCTTTAGGACTGGACCAAAGACATTGACTATTTTTTTCACTTTAGCACGATTAGGCATTATCTCCTTTTGTTGAAAAACATAGGTTTTCATTCACAAATTAATGGGGAACTTAATACCCTAGGGCTAATTCTAAAGGCACACATATTCAGTGGAACTATGAGGACCCTCCTTTTGGCTCAAATAAATCCGCACAAGGAGCCACTAATTAGCTATGGAACAGCCTTTTCTCAAAGTTTAAATTCGTTCCCTCACAATTTGATACATTCGTCCTATCATCCGGATCTTCATATGCACCTTTCGTGAAATGTGATATATAAAAATTCATTGTTTTTATAAGCGATGGATTCAATCTAATTAATAAATTTGACCCCTCACCTTTTACATATATATAATCTAAAAGAACATACAGCACATTCGCACGCAGATTTAAAATTGTGCAACCTTGATATTATATTAAGAGGGAGAATGAGAAACCGATTTTTTATTTTCGTTTCATATTATGGTTATGCACTGAAAACTCGTCAATCAAAGCCAAGTAACAACCGGCCCAAGTAAGGACGGCACAGGTTCCCCACATGGTCGTAAAAAAGAAAGCAAAGTAGCAAAGATATCTTTGTAACCAGTGCAACTCCGTCTCTATTGAAAGAGATGGAGGAGAATTAATTTCTTTTAATCATTTGTAGGACAAAGTTACTTGGCAACTAAGTTACAAAGATGTGTGCCATCTTATTAAGCCGAAGCATTGTGATCTATTCTAGGGGCTTGACTCGGATCCTTAGTTGATGGTTACACTAGCAACCTCACCAAACTAGAGGAAGTTTCCTACTAACAGGGGCCGCTTGTGCCTTTTCACAAATTGTGGTGCACAGCCAAATTACGTTCTTTTATTTTAACGTGACGATGCTTGCACGCCCTACTTCTCCTAATTTCTCCATGTATCTTTGGCTTTTCCAGAAAGACGAAATATCCTTTATGTGTTTTACATCTAAGGCGATGCCAAGGTCCGCACGAGGTCTCAAATGAAATAATTTCACCTTTTGCTCGCGAGGAACCGTCACTTACATATAAATAATTACTAAAGATATGGACAGCGCACGAAAACCCTAATTCTAATCCCCACCCACCAAACCAATTTTGAGGGGGAGAACCTTGAAAAACTTCACAAAAGGTATATCTGTATGAAAGTCCATCCTCCATCAGGGTCGACTGAGAGAGATCTCTGCAATCAGAGCAACCATGTCCTTATTTTAACAGCTGGAGGAGACAGCTTCTTTCATAGTCGTTGAAATATGGTGGTACTTTTAATACTTCTAAAAATCTCTCCGAATATATTCCCCTGGCTTCCTTTAGGACTATAATTTTCTCCGGCCCAATTCCCTAAAAAATCCCCAACTTTAGCCTTTGTCCCAATTATATCCCAAACTCTTTTTTGTCTCATAAAAAACCTCAAATTTTTACTTTTGTCCCAAATCTACCCAGTTAACTTTTCGTTCAATTTTTTAATATTATTTTTTATTTTTTCGAATTTTTTTATTTTTTCTTTTCTTTTCTTTTTCCTTTCCTTTTCTTTTTTTTTTTGTTTCACCTTCTGGCCGGTCGCCGGTCCGGCGACCGGCCAGAGGCGGGGGCCGGCGAGGCTCGGCCCGCCGGCCGCTAGCGAGGCTCGGCCTCGCCGGCGTTGGGCGAGCCGACCCTCGCCAATAGCCGGTGGGGCCGAGCCTCACCATGGCTGGCGAGGCTCGGCCACGGCCGTGCAGGCGAGGTTCGGCCTCGGCCGGCCTCGCCGTTCTTCGGCGAGGCCGACCTCGCCGGCGGCCAGACGGGGCCAAGTTCTCGCCCGGATCTGGCGAGGCTCGGCCTCGCCCGGCGGCGGCGTTGCCGAGTTCTCGCCCGGATCTCGGCGAGGCTCGGCCCCGCCGCAACGGCGAGAGTCGGCCTCGCCCGGCAACGCGAGGTCGGCCGAGGCCGAACCTCGCCGTTGCTAGGCGAGGCCGACCTCGCCGATCTGGCAAGAACTCGACCACGCCGGCCGGCGGGCGAGGCTCGGCCTCACCTGGAACGGCGAGGCCGAGCCTCGCCCGGCATGGCGGGGCCGAGCCACGCCGGCCCCGCTCTTGTTGAGTCGCCGGACCGGCGACCGGCCAGAAGGTGAAACAAAAAAAGAAAGAAAAGGACAGGAAAAAGAAAATAAAAAAAATAAAAAAAAATCGAAAAAATAATATTAAAAAATTGGACGAAAAGTTAACTGGGTAGATTTGGGACAAAAGTAAAAGTTTGGGGTTTTTTATGAGACAAAAAAAAGTTTGGGATATAATTAGGATAAATACTAAAGTTGGGGATTTTTTAGGGAGTTGGGCCAATTTTCTCCCTATAAACAAGCCAGAATAATTGGACGACGAATGGTCGTCATTAAAAAATGTGTGTTAAGCCTGCATTGGCAACTCGATAATCAACCGCGTCCAGTCATGAAATGAAAACTCATAATTAAAAAAACAAACAAATCAACGTCAGTAAGTCCTTCCGATTTGATGTTGCCCCCCACCATCGAAAAACTTCCAAAGCAAAAAAGGGTATCCTAAAGAAGGATCTCAAGCTTTCTTAGATGCTGACAGCTATCAGCATTACAGCAAGAAGACACATTCGGGACTCTCTGAGCAACTAATTAGGGTGCGGTAGTCCTAAGTCCTATATACATCTAAGTAATTATCGAAGAAATACAAAGACCGTATTTTCGATGATTGTTTCTAGAGAATACGCAAATGTGGTGCTTCGAATTCGGACCTTAAGCGAGAAAGACGAGTGCCCTTATTTTTTTTTAGCGAGTGCTTGGAGATTAAAATTTATATTAAACCCAATATAACCTCTAGGTTAGGTCCTCGAAAGGCTAAAGTTGGCACAAAGGAGAGGCTTCGAAGCATAGGCAGAATGGACAAACAGAAAAAAAAAATAAAGAAAAATAGGAAAAAACAAAAGGAAGAACAAGAAGGGCATGAAAGATACTTGTAAAAAAGCTTGAGTCTAAAAAAGCAGTGGACATGAAAATCTTTGGGGGGTCTATATTAGTTTGTCGTTATAACTAAATGGATATATATTTATATATGGTGAATAATTTTGAAGAAGCCCATCAGGCATCATCCATGAAAAAAAAACAAATGTTATGCTGGGCCCCTGAGAATTGCTCAGCGCCCATGAGCATTGACCAGAAGTACTCCCCAATTAAGAGTACATTATGTAATTCATTTTCCTTTTATTTATCTTTCTTATACTATAACATCGGTGGTCCTAAGCAGGATCTTAAAAGGCTCAAGAAGAAACGGGAGAAGGAATTCTCCAGTATAGTGGATAACTCTCCTTATAAGCTTTTTCCGTATTCCAAATCTCTCCTTGGAAGAAAAACACGTTGGAGAGAAAACAAGGGATATGCCAATAGACCGGCCGTCGGATCATTAAACAAGACCTTATAGCCTCATAGGTGTCAACACTCGGTCCTAGTGAGGTATACCTTACCAAACACCAAGAATCTAGCGCTACCCAGGTAAGGTTAGGCAAACCTTAGCCTATCTAAACTTTAGGCTCAACTACTTAATTTATCCGATAAGTGCACTTAAAATGTGCCGATGTTTTATAATATATATATGTCGCGATCTTTTTAGCTAATGGGTGAGCTTCGGATCTATAGCTTAGCCCAATCTTCGAGCTTCGAGCCTCAACCCGCCCGGCCAGACAATTCAGGCCTCAAAATGTTCATGACTTTTCTTCCATCCTATTCCACTAATCTATAGGTATGTATATAATGGTAAAATTGGCTTTTGGACATTAAACGTAATGTTTAATAGAACGCGTTTCTTCATTTTCGAATACGAATTTGAATGTCCTATCGAGAAAAATGCAACAGAATCGATCTCGGACGATAAAGGTGGAAGCAACATTTTGAAAATGTCTAAACATATCTCGATTCACATCATACAAAATGAAATCGATCCGACTATACATAACATGATCGATCCTGTCTCACAATGCATTCGCCAAAGAGGAGGGAAATCAATCTCTTTTGAACCCTTCAAAAAGAATTAAAATAAAAAATAAAAATAAAAGGTCGAGCGGGAAATGGAGTGCTCTTTACTTTTTTTTGCTGCACGTTTTCTTTATCACGAAAAGAACTCACTAAACTAAAAAAGAGGGAAAGCCACAAATGATGAATACCGTTCTCTCCTTTTTCTGAAACGACACGGTGGAGCGTTTAGGGGTGATCGGTTCCAGGTTGAATTGGGTCCAGACCTGAAATTTAGAATTAACTCTGTTATAATCGGTTCCCAATTTTTGGAACCTAAAACCAACCCTATTTTCCCTGGACCCTATTTTGGAACCGACCCTGTTTTTTTGGTCCGATTTCAGGGTCTACCCGAGAACCTATATTTTTTTATTCCTTTTTCCGATTTTATTTTTTTCCAGCAAAATAATATAAGTAGCAATGAAACGATTCAAAGTAAAAGATGAATAACAAAAACCACTATCCGCCAAAAGTAACAATCCCCAAAATGAGCAATTAAAACTACAATCCATCAAAATCAACAATCCAAAAACATTATGTGGCAAGACATAGTCCAATCGCATAAATCTTTAAGAGTCATATTACCAGGGAATCTGTTCAACATGTTTAACTCTTTATTTTGCGCCATGATGAGAGAACTCCGCACTTCTGTTTTCGAATGAAATATCTTGAAAGGAAAATCAAGAGACTTAGCAGTAAAGTATCTGCTCTCACTAGAGAAATGTCTATATATCTCGTTTGAATCACACAATATTTAGATGACTTTAAGGGTCGTGCTGTTTCGCTCATAGTTGTGAAACAGATCCCAATATTAAATCGGAAACCGGTTCTAAAACCGGTGAAGTAGGGTAAGGTGATCTAGGGTTTTTACTTTTTTTTACATTATCTCAAAACCGGTTCTAAAACCGGTTTGGGTTGGTTTTTACTTGGAACCGGAAATCGGACCGGTTCCCAAAAAATGGAACCGGTTTTTGGACCTATTTTTCGGGTAGGCCGGTCCGGTTTCCAGGTAAATCCGGTCCGGTTGCACATCCCTAGTAGCGTTTATACGAGGGGCGTCTGGGCTTATTTTTTCCCAGATTTCTGTGATGGTTCTGACCAAAAAAACCTACCGCCACCGCCAACGCGGCCGCCGCCACCGTCGTCTCCTCCTCCTCCTCCGACACGTCGCTGCCAGGGCCACGCGACTCTGCCCCATCCGTGGTACTCTGGGAAAGAGCGAGACGACCTGTCGTTTCATCCCCCTGTCCCAGCCCGCCTCCCTCCTCCCTCCTCCCACCGTTTTTCTAACATAAATTTGGGTCCACTATCCGTCCTCCGGAATAAATTCATGGCTTTCGACTTGGCTTAAATCTCAGTTTGTCGATTTTAAAAACTTTGGGATAAATACACCAAAACTTCTTAAAAGTCTTCACGAAGGCGAGGTTGAGTCTTAAAATTTTTAAAAAAAATGTGATCGAGTCTTAAAATTTGTCAAATTAATACAGATGAGTTCTTCCATTAACTCTGTTAATTTGCCTAACCAAAAAAAAAATCTGACCTGACACTTTTTTTAAATTGTTTTCTCTACTACGTGGCACTTCTTTTATTATTTCTTTCCTCGAATCTTACTTAAATTAGATTTTAAAAAATAAAAAGGCTAAATTTTTTATAAAAAAAAATCCAAGCTGAACAAAAAAAAGTGCAACGGGACTCTCTCTGGCCTCAAGCGAGAGCCTGGCCCTCGAATTTGGGAGAGAGTGTAACCCTCACCACAAATTTGGAGTAGGATCGCAACGCATTAGCGAGGACCCGGCGACCTTGCTGGCCCTTTTAGTGAATGGTTGGCGGCAGCAAAAATAATAAGATACGTCATATCAACATTTTCTGTTAAGCAAAGTGACAAAAGTTAATGGAAATGCTCGATTATACCAATTTAGCGTGTCTTACGACTTGAATGCACTTTTTGAAAGTTGTAAAACTCAATTACACATTAGCGACATGTTTTAGGATATTTGGTGCACTTATCCTAAAATTTTTTTGGCATGTTTCAGTTACATATAGTGAGAATTTGTATCAAGGGCCTATTTGTTTTTAATTGGGAATTTTTTTTTGTTTTGCCATAAATAATTTAAAAGTATACACATTTAGGAAATAATAAAAAATATGTTGATTTATGTGTTAATATTGGTATGTTGTGTATATTTAAGTGTTTTGAATTCTTAAAACAAAAACGAAGAGAGTAATATGCAAGATTCAGATTAAGTAAAAGGAAAAATAATCCAAATATAATATGATCAAATGTATTTTTAGAACAGAGAAATGTTTGTCGAAGGATAGAGTAATTTATGAGACGATCACGTCACGTGACAATAACAAATCAATTAAGTCCATTGCCACCTTCAAAGTTTGAAGGTTTCCGCTCCACTAATTAAAGATTCATTGCACATTGAAGATGGCACGGACAAAGTCTAGGCTCTTCACGAAGGTTGCCTCTGTTTCGTAGAAAAAAATTGATTCGAATTTTTTTTTCTTAAAAATGATTATTTGTATCGCTTATAAAAATGAATGAATTAAAACTATTTTCTTTATCCACGAAAATGTTTAAATATAAATTATTATCAATAATAAAAATATTTTTCATCAACCAATAATTTTAATTAATACAAGTAATTATTTTTAGAAAAATATTTTTTAAATAATTTATATTTCGTAAAACAAACGCACATGATAACATCAATAGTCAATACTTATCATTAGTTATGGGATTACTGAGTAGTTGACAAATAAGGCGCTACAGTCATTTCACATCGATTTTATACTATTTTATCCATACAAACATAAAAAAATTCAATTTAATTTTCTTAATGGTACATAGATTAAAAAAAAAAAGGCAAGAGGTCCGTATATTTATAATAAAAGTGGTTCCTTGTTACGTAGTTTGGCTCTAACTGCACTAAAATGGTATGATTGTTTTTTTTGGGTAATTTCAGGATATGGGCGAGGAAATATGATTATTTGGAGACCCTTACCAAAAAAAAAATATGATTATTTGGAGACTCATGAAATACCTCGTACGCCTTGTGAATCGTTAAGTTTGAACCTTTGACCTCTACAAGCGGCCTTCCAGAGCATTTGACATGCACTTTGTAGGATTTTAAGAGGCAACTTCAATTTCCTGAGTTGGAAATCTTCGAACGACCTAATCAAATTGTGCTAACCCTAGAGATTTAATGACATGTGATTTCATCCAGTTATGCCAACCTTACACACATTTAGCAAGAATCCATATACGAAAGTCTTAGTGATAGTCTGTTTAGAACATTTGCATTTCAAATTGTAACCATTTCAATAAAAAATAATGCGACTAATGCACTTATATATATTAAAATAAATACAAATAGTCACATATAATTGTAAAAGTTGATTAATATCTCGGATTATGATGGACATGTAAAAGGTTACTTTTCTTTCTTTTTCTTAAGGAGACGATTATAATCTTTTTAAGATATAAGGGCTCTGTTTGTTTCGCCAAAAATAATTGATTTGGAAAGTCATTTCCTAAAAATAATCGATTTTATCGTTTACAAAAATGGATTAACGAAAAAATTTAACTTGCCCACGAAAATGTTCAAGAATAAATTACTGTCGATAATGAAAATATTTTTTCATTAATTAATTATTTCAAACGATACAAGCGATAATTTTTTAGAAATTATTTTCAAAATTATTCATTTTTCACGAAACAAAATGAATCATAAAAAATTTTCCCTTGATTAGTCTCACATATCTATACATGCACACATACAATCTTTTGCACCTGTAAAAAGGTTTTAGAGCATCAGTCAACTCCATTTCGCCTATGAGTTTGGATATTATGGAATTGCAAAACTAGTAATACATGTGAAAATAATGATAATCTATAAGCACTAAACTCATATTAAGGTTTATTAACACAAAAACAAAGTGTAATCCGTAGAAAATAATAATAGTAGTAGCCGGATCTTTGCACTCTTGTCTCGAAGTTATCGAAAAATGAAATGAAGTAAAGTGTTATGCCTACTTTTCTGTATTTTAATTATAAATTTTCACAAAAGTTGTGATCGTTACATGTTTATCCTTATTACATTCATTGATTCGTGATATAAAAAAATTCATTTATTTTTGGATAAGCGAGCAAGTGGTGTCCAAGTCAAATTCACGCAATTTGATTAAATTGCCTCCCCCAGCAATCTTAAAAGTGCACTACCATATAATAGCTTGGTGCATTCAAGAATTTAATCCTAGACCACTCCGAGCAAAACTATACTCTCGAAATATTATATAATATCATGGCATAATTTTTTTTTATAATCGTGATAGTGTGCTCTGCACTTGCCACTATGTGAAACCTGCATATCAGAATTCTTCTTGCTTTTATGGTGCGAATCAAAATTCGAAAGGGAGTCTAGTGATTAAAAGATAGACCTTATCGAAGGCCACAAAAGCCGTGTGCATGGGATAGCATACTTATCATGGTCTTTGTCTCCGTGTTTCCCGATTCATGTCATAGGCCCCCTTTATGTTATCCATTCATGCGAGTGCTATCTACTCAAACATCTAATGCTTGTTGAAATAGTCAATCCAAGACATTTTTTTTGGATAGATTCCAATGGTCAATTCAAATGAACTAATCTAATCGAGCCATGTCATGTCGCTGTTAGGGGACATCGTGGGTCCTATGTATGCACACATCTTAGTACACTAGCAGCTTTATTATGATTTCAATAAAAGCCCTAAGTTTCTAGCTTGTTTTAATTAACACCCATTATCAACACTTGTCAGTCAAAAGCTGAGGAAGAGCTAGACACTCGATTTCAAAAATTTTATAGCCTCTCTAAAAGGAACGTGAGTCCATGCAAACAGGCTTGCAATATAATAATGACTCGTAGGATTTGACTTAGGACAATATTTAATCCAATAGCATTCAAACCTAGACCCAGAAACTTTTGAAAATAAGATAATATAATGCCAAGTTTAGAAAGGTCATGAACAATTTCATTTCATTTTAGATGTCTATATTCATATATTTTGAATGAACTCGCACGTAAGTCTCAATAATTTAGGCTCGATATCAAGTAGGTGAGCTTGATGTGAATTTTTGCTTCTCCTGGCTCATCCCCATATGCTTTTTTCCTCGAGTTTGAGGCTCAAGTTCGAATCTTTACTGCAAAAACGAAAGAGCCCACTATCGGTATTTTCATTTCTTTGCTCCTTTTCATTATGTTTTCCTTTCTGGGTTTTTCAAATTTAATCAATTGACAAACCAATTTCCATCTCAAAATCAGAGCTGGATTCGTAAGACACCCAGAACAGAACAGTCGTTTCTCTCTCCCTCTGTCTCTCACACGCACACTCTCTCTCTCTTACGCAGCTTTCACGTGTCGTCTGAGGTACGATCATCGTGCTTTCCGCTTTCCCTCCTGCTCTGAGAAGGGAGAAAAAATAAACACAGATGCATTCACATCGCATTTCAGAGAGAGACAGAGAGTGGGGGAGGGAGCCAGGAAGGAGCGTTCTTCTTGGTTCTTTCCTCACAGTTCATTTCACTTCTTTATTCGAAACCAAAAACTGTCAACTCTTCCCTCGGAGAACAGGAAAAGAGAAAAATGTCGCCGTACACACGCTTGGGTTTGCAGGCCTTTTTCACGGCCGTCTTTACTACTACTGATTTACTGCGACTCCTACTTCTTCTTCCCAGAACCGCTGTCATTACCATTATTAAAAGCAAGAAAAGGGAAAAAAAATTGGGGAAAAAAGAACAGAACCCAGTTTCTCCAGTTGTTTTGTCTCCGGAAAGATCCGATCTTTTTCCATTTTTCGGGGGCTAATCAGTTGAATTTGATCGAAAGGACTGTTTGTCAAGCAACCCATTTGCATTTTTGTTAGGTTGTAGAGGAGCACAATGAGAAAGTTGAAAAATTTCACACGCAATGCAGTGCGAGTGAAGTGATTTTGCATTCATTTTTTTGGCACTTTGCATTAAAACACTGCCGCTTTCAGCCCCTGCCATGTCCTGCCGCTTCGGCAGAGATCTTTTCGGGCTCTGGGTCGTATTTATCCCTGTCAGAAGCCACTAATTACCTCCCATGCCACTGACCTTTTTGTATGCCCACTGGTATTGCCATTGCACTCATTCAATTTCTCTCACCTAACGTTTCATTTCCTCAGCTTCTTCTGGTTTGTCACCCAACAGTGCAAAGCATTATTGTTCACTGGGTGTTACGCGTGTGCAGTCATTTTTTCTTTGTTTTTTTTTGTTCTTTTTAATTATTGTGGTTATTGTGGTCTTGTGTATTGTTTGAGTGTGTGTTTTTGGGCATAGAGGATCTTCCGTCGATTTGATTTTGGTTGGAGTTGAAAGTGCGGGTGTTGGATGGCTGCTCGGCCAGGCTGCTCGTCGTCGGTGCCGTCGCTGCCGCCGCCGCGCCCGAAGTCGCCGCCGGAGTATCCGGACTTGTATGGTAAGCGCCGGGAGGCTGCGAAGGTGCAAATGCTGGAGAGAGAGATTGGTTTTCTTGAGGTGGGTCCTCAGCTTTACGAGTTTTTGGCTTGGTTTCTTGTTTTTTGTTTTACTTTACTTTTTCAGTTTTGCTGTTTAGAGTTTCTTATGGAGCATGGCTTACTTGTTGTACCTGGAAAATGAAAAAAGAAAAGGAAATTTTTTTTGATTTTGGGAAATGGATTTGTTGCTTGCTGTGATTGGTGTGTATAAGTATAAGAGAGCTGAGACAGATCCTTGGGAAGCAAATTGTGGTGGAAAAGTTTTTAGTGTAAATTAATCCCTTTAACAAAGAGTTTAATTTGTGAAGATGAGGAGCTTATGAGTTGAGTGCTTCTAATAACGTTAATGCATTGTGCTTGATCATCTTCACTTGTTCTTTCTCTGTTTTTCCCTTATATTTTCAGTAGTTTTCCTGAAAACTTTATGGTTATGTAATCTAAACAATTGGGTGGAATCTCTGCTGGGAGCAGGAGGAATTAAAGTCTCTTGATGGACTTCAACCAGCTTCCAGATGCTGCAAAGAGTATGCCTAATTTGCAATTCCTTGTATAATACCTAATATAGACGGTTAATTTCGATGTTGGTTGGAAAACTCACTCCGTGTCCATCAGCTAACTCTTTTTTCTGTTTGAATTTGGCGGCCTTGCAGGGTTGCCGATTTCGTTGTGGCAAACCCCGAACCTCTCATACCAACGTAAGAATATTGGATTATGGAACCTGTGATAGAATTGAGATGGTATTTTTTATCCTTTTGGTTCAATTTCATGCAGATACCAGAAGGGAAATAAATCTTACCGCTCTTGGAAGTGGCTCTGGTAGGATTTTCTTTTATGTATCGTTGTTCTTCAATAAACTTGTTGATACTCTTTGTGCTTTTTTCTTCTGTGCACGAATTGCTTATTATAATACAGACTCAGATACTTCACAAGAAGAAGAGTGCGTTTAATCTTCCCATATTCTATCACATGCCAACGTGGTATTAGATTCACAGCATTTGGACAGCTTTGATTGAATTGAATGTAGTTCCATAGTTTCATTTGGTTGCAAACAGAAGATACATTTTTGTGTACTTGCCATACCGTTCTATACAATTGAAAAGTATGTAGAAGATTGATCACTGTATTATGCTGTCATGAATTTGCTGCTATATTATGCTAGACGCTTGCGTCGTTTTAGTAAGCCTCTTCAACCCTTCTCCCTGCAAAAGTATATTACAAAAACTTCTCAACCTTTTCAGTTTTGGTTGTCATTGGTGATCCTTTCGCGAACTGTCTTCATCTAAGGCTTTACATTATCTTTGGATATTGCATGCTGAACTCTGTTATGTGTTTGTTATTTTCTATCATTTTATCACGCTGATAATCATCTAAAAACTAGGGGAAGAAACTCATCTAATCATAAATCCTTTTTTACGGAGAATTTTATCTGCAATCGCCTTGTTTGTGAATGTCGGTCCTTAATATACGACCTTGAGGATATAATTCAAAAGCTCATTGGGAAGGACAATATGATTTCTTTGTTCCAATAGAGTTAACTGTCAACTTAAGATGATTCCTGACATACTGTGGTTTTACTCCCTGGCTTTGCAGTGGAATGTCCTGTTTTAGCCTCTCATGGGTTTGCTGCTGCTGCTATTCTGCATGCCCGGTTCAATTGCCCTGTAGCTGCAATTGCAACTCATGCTGCTCGTGTAAATGTTGCTCGTGTCCGAGTTGCTCCGTACGCAAGTGCCGGTGTTGCTCGTGTCCCAAATCTGATTGCTGTAAAGGCATCTCTTGCTGTAGTAGAAGTTGTACCTTTTCCTTTCCTTCTTGCCCTAGTTGCTCTTGCTGTTCCTGGCCTAGTTGCTCTTCCTGTTCCTGGCCTAGTTGCTCTTGCTGTTCCTGGCCTAGTTGCGCTTGCTGTTCCTGGCCTAGTTCCTCCTGCCTTAAGTGGCCAAAGGTAAGCTGTTGCTGCAGTTGTAACTGTAAAGATATATGTTGTGACCCTTGCTATTTATGTTACTAGCACAAAGTTTATATGAATATTCCTGGTCAAGCCATATTTGAGCCGTTCATAAGAGAATGCGGAAAGGTCCAATGAAGATAATGAAATAGTCGAATTGGCGACGTGTCCATTCGCTAATTCGTGCTATCGTGGAGGGAACTATCCATTCATTGAGTTGAAAAGGGACAAAAGTAGTCGCCGGTGCGACTAGGGTGGCAGATTCAATACTAAACTACCTATCTGGTTTACTAACATGAATCCGAAAAACAGGGGTGTTAGTTTAGCACCTTCATGACTTTGAAGGCATAGGCGAAGCTCCAATGCTTCAATCTGAAAAAAAGGTTTTAAACATGTTTCTATTTATGGTACTTAATCAGTATTTCGAGCTTAATAATTTTTTTTAATAAAGTGGTTTATTTATCCACATGTACGAGTGTATTGTTATTTGTCAATATTTCCATCGAATTCTTTCATACCTCTACGAAATTTTGTGACTCTATTGCCAACTATTCTAATCCGAATGCTTAAATTGTCCTTTCAGATATTCTAATACTCATCCTGACAAGTAAGTTAGACTAAAGCATGGAAATATATTAGGAAAGATTTGAACTCGAGACTTTTTGTTTTGATATCATTATAAATTTTACAGGACCGCTGTAAATTATTGTAAAAATTCATGTATTCAGATTAATGTAAGGCTTATTATTTAAATACTTAACAATTTGTGTTTCTCGCGTGGTAGAAATCTTTAAATTGTAGTTTACGGTTTCATATACGGCCTTGTGTTCTTTATATACTTAGTAATAAAGATAATGCTTTTGAATAATTGGACATTCTACAGTCTAATTACAGCTACCACTTTTTTTTATATTACAAAACAACTCAATATAATATTGGCAAGGTGTATAATCTATTCTACGGTCCCTTAAGAGAAAACAGATTGTATAAATGCCCTATACAACGAAGATGTTTATGATATTTGTATGATGCGACTAGTTGATATTTTACTTTGTGTATATGTACGTACGTATTGTGGGTAATTTAATTTTATTGTCTCAATCATTGTTAAGGTTTCGTAATCAACATTTTTAGCTTTTAATTACCTTACTAGCTTAGCTTCCAAAATACACCTTTTCAATGCACAAGAAAATTTGAATTGATGTCACAAAATTATAGGTTGTTTCTACTTTCTTCATTATCGAGTTCCTTAAACATCTATAGGAAAGTCAATTATAAAAAAAAAATTTAAACATGTTTGTAACATTAAAGAGAATAAATGCAATTAAGGGTGCGTTTGTTTCACGAAAAACGTAATATTTTAGGAAAATATTTTCCGGGAAATCATTTTCCAGAAAAATGGTTAGTTTTCCTTTGTTTGGTGATATGTGATCGAAAAAGGTATTTGGTATTTGGATCTCATCTGGAAAATAATTTCAAAATGCATTTGTTTTGCCAACCCGCACTTGTGACCTGTTGCCGAGGCCGCTAACCCGCGAAGGGAGGAAGAAGGAAAAAGAAAAGAAAACAAAGAAAAAGAAAAAGAAAAAGAAAAGAATAAAATAGTAATAAATTCAATATGAGCAATTCCAGAAAGTGTTTTCATCTTCTTGGATAAGAGAATTCACTTTATTAATTTTATACATGAATGCTTTCTTGACCGAAAAGTATTTTCGGTTAACTTATCATTTTTGACGAGAAAGTCCGGAAAATGGATTCTCAAAAAAATATTTTTCCTCGAACAAAAGCACCTTAAGATGCTCGGTTAATAAAATTAGTCCAGGCATATATGTTAAGCAACGGTGTCGTGACACTTGGCACCTTTTTTGGGTCGTCATTTCCGTCGCGAATTTGAGGATTAAAAAACGGACATAATTCTTTCATCTTCCAAGTTGCAGCACTTCACAGGTACATACGAAGTTATTAATGGTTGCGGTGGTCATTTCCGCTTACATACAGCTACATACAAAGTCATTTCCGTCCCACCTCGCGAACGTGTTGGTCCTGCTCTGGTTCTGTGCTGGACATTTTAGTGCGAGAAATCGAAACTCGAGAGAGACGATGGTGGCATTGGGTAAAAGAGAGTAAGAGCGATTAAAAAGCATAGAAGTGGGGAAACAAATGCACCATCCTTATTTTTCATTTTTTCAAATTTCACATATCTTATTTGAGTCCATCCCAACTCCAAAGTGGGATTTTTTTTATCAGGGCTACATCTCATTATATTCGGATTTCGCGTCACTCCAAACACCGTTGAGCTATATCTGGTCGTTATTTTAATTATGCATTCGTGCAAAAGGGGATATATGTGCAATATGTGTGCGGTATACGTGCAATCTTGAGATATACGAATAATTAATAAGATTATCAAAATATCTCTAACCATCTTAGAGAAATCCCTAATTATCTCTAACATCGCCTCTCAAATTCGAACCCAGAACCCCAATACCGAGTGAGATTTTGGTGGGTCCACCACTAACTATTCTAAAAGCTTAAGCTGTTAAATGAAAGCTTGATTTATTATTTAAATATTCTAACACTTAATTTCTGTATATTTTGATATGTATATATTAATAAATAACACATCAGCTTATTTATAGGTTTTATAGGATAACTATTCTAGAGATATTTAGCCCTAGCTCGCCGGTCGCGCGGACACCTCGATTATCAAAAAAAAAAAATATCTCTATTAAGATATGCAAAATCAAATGGAGATAAATGCGCAATATGCGTACAATACACGTGCAACATACGTGCAATACACGTGCAACATATGTGCGATATACGTGCAATCTTGAGAGATATAAATAATTAATAAGATTATCAAAATATTCGTAACAATGGAACTCATCCTAGACAAATTCCTAATTATTTTTAACATCCCTTTTCAAACTCAAAGTGACTAAGGCTGCGTATGGCAAACATTCTGTGCCCAGAATCAGATTCTGGGCAGAAATGATTCTTTTTTATTCTGTGCCCGGAAATAATTTCTAAGCATTTGAATGCGTTTGGTAACTGCCCAAAATTTCTGTTCTTAGAATAGAAAAAGAACATAAATGCATTTGGTAACTATACAAAATTTCTTTTTATTAATAATATTTTGAATTTTTTAATATTTCTTTCTTTTTTCTTTTTTTGTTTTGTTTTGTTTTGTTTTTTTCTTTCTTTCCCCTTCCTTTCTTGGCCATGGCCGGCTGCCAGCGCTGGCAACCGGCCACAGGCCAGGGCCGGCGAGGGATTCGCGGCCCTTGCCGGTCGCGATGGCGAGGTCAGCCTGGCCACTCAGGTCCGTCGCCAACCCTGGTGAAGGACCTGGGTGGCGACGGCATGGTCGGCCTCGCCTTGGTTGGGCGAGGCCTCGCCGTCGCGGCCGCGAGCCACCCTCGCCCAGGTGGCGAGGGGGACCCTCGCCGGCCATCGGGGAGAGCCGAGACGCCCTCGCCGGCCCTGGCCTGTGGCCGGTGGCCGGCGGGTGGAGGGGCCGAAGAACAACAACAAACCAAAAAAAACAAAAAAATCAAGAAGAATCAGTTCCGGAAAAATTGTTCTAGAATCAAGAAACTACTTTTTTTTTATTCTTGATTCTGTTCCAAAACTGATTCTGGGCACAAAAAATTTAACAAATGAATTTCTGTTCCTAAACTGATTCTGAGAATAAAAGAACAGAATCAGTTACTATTTGGCAAGTTGTCAAACATGCACTAAGTCATTTTGAAAAATCGGTAAATAGAAAAAGTAAAATAAAAAGTTAAGATCTTACTAATAAAGTTATCGATTTTCTTTTCTTGTTTTCGTTGTCCGGGCTTATGTTGTTTAGGATGTGATTGACGTGTCTAGTTTAGTATTTAGCGTTAATTCATGATGAAAATTTCTACGAAAAGAAAAAGATCGAAAAATTCATAATTATATGCAGTCTAACATTGCATGTTAGGGGGTCATGCTTGACTCATGCTTCATTGTATCCACGAATAAAATGCAATACACCACCTCATCCATCCACTTCTCAGCATAAGACTTCATCAAACACACGGATCAAAAATCAAAAGGCGCGACGAGCACAAAAAACAACCCACAACTTTTAATTGAAACCAAGAGAGGGCAAAACATCAAAGTAAGGCGAGGCCGCCGGGGTCCCTCGTCGGCCATCACCGGCCGAAAACTGCATACTGACCTAGGAGCTTCTCCTCTCCCCCATCCCTCCTCGGCGATAGCTCAAGTGGGGTTCCCTCCACCACCCGTGCCACCGCTGCACTAGATAGGATGAGGAATGTAAAGAAGAGCATTTTGAAGAGAGGCATTGTGGCGCTTATACTTGAGGCCATGGCGTCCACTGCTGGTGTTTTCCCTCTCCTATTCCTCCGACGCCGTCTCCGGCCTTGCCGTCTCAGCCCCTCCTACTCCTCCGACACCGTCTCTGCCCCCTCCTCCGATGCTGTCTCCGCCTCGTAGGATGCCATCTCCATCCCTCCTCCGATGCCGTCTCTGCCCCCTCCTCCTCCGACCCCCTCCTTTACACCTACATTGCGGCATGGGTGGCGGAGGTGGAAACCCCCTGAGGTGACGGCGAGGAGGGACGGGTAGAGGAGAATCTCCCAGTCCAAGGTTAGTATATTTTATCTTGATTTGGAGGCTGGGTAGAACAATCTCATGGGTTACTTTCTTCTCTCAATTCGATACAGAGAAATACGCTAACCACATTTTGGGAGTACATTTGCCACATTGGGTGATTATCCTCATTGTGAATCGGACTAGTCGTCATTCTTGCCATATCGATTGTTCTCGCCATTTTGAAGAGAGGGCACTCATATTTCAGATCATGGAACTCTGAGATATTGGATAATTACTCGTTTGAACAGATTGCTCATTTGAGTTGCTTGACTGTCGCATGTTACTCTCCTTCTTGGGCCTAAGATATTAGTAATTATCAAACCGGTGGTGTCGTTCTCAATGCCTAAGGATTTGCAAAACCTTGTCATGTTCCTTTCTTTGCTCAAAGCACAAAGCAGATCAGTACACTTTGCCTGGCTGAGACCCGAGAATTGGAACATGAACAAAAGCCATGAAGCAAATAACCACTTAATAAACAATGGGGCAAGTGAGATTTTGGTGGAAAAACTGTCAATTTTTCTAAAACCTTAAGTTTTTAAATGAAAGCATGATTTATTATTTAAATATTTTAATACTTAATTTATATATATTTCGATATGTATATATTAATAAAGAATACATCAGTTTATTTATAGACTTTATTAGATAACTATTCTAGAATAATAGCTCAATCAATATATGCAAAATCAAATGAAGATACACGTGCAACATATGTGCAGCATACGTGCAATACACGTGCGATATACGCGCAATCTTGAGAGATACAAATAATCAATAAAATTATCAAGATATCTGTAACAATGGAACTTATCCTAGACAAATTCCTAATTATCTCTAACATCCATTCTTAAATTCAAAGTGATTAAGTCAGCTTAAAAAATTGATAAATAGAAAAAGTTAAGATCTTACTAATAGAGTTAATGTTTTTCTTTTCTTTTTTTCATTATCGAGGCTTATGTTGTTTACGATGTGTTTGAATTTTTAATTTGTTTATCCTAGATTTTAACTTTTTCTTTTAATTTAACTTCTAATTTGTTTTTCGTTTTTTCTTTTCATTTTTTGTTATTCAGGCTTATGGGGTTTCCTTTGCCACCCGTGTCGCTACCGCCACCCGTGCTGCCACCGCACTAGATAGGATGAGGAATGTAAAGAAGAGCATTTTGAAGAGAGGCATTGTGGCACTCATACTTGAGGCCATGGCGTCCCTGACACTGCTGGTGTTCTCCCTCTCCTACTCCTGTGATGCCGTCTCCATCCCCTCCGTCTCCACCTCGTTGGATGCCATCTTCGCACCCGCCTACTCCTCCGATGCCGTCTCCACCCCTTCTCCTCCAACCCCTTCCTCTACACCTACACCATAGCACGGGTGGCGGAGGCGGTAACCTCACCTGAGGTGATGCCGAGGAGGGGCGGGTTAGAGGAGAATCTCCTAGTCCAAGGTTAGTATATTTTATCTTAGTTTGGAGGCCGGGTAGAACAATCTCTCAGGTTACTTTCTTCTCTTGATTCGACGCAGATAAATACGCAGGCCACATTTTGGGAGCACGTTTGCCACATCGGGTGATTATCCTCATTATGATCGGACTAGTCATCGTTCTCGTCATATTGGTTGTTCTCGCCATTTTGAAGAGAGGCATTGTGGCGCTCATACTTGAGATCACGGGACTCGGAGATATTGGATAATTACTCATTTGAACAGATCACTCATTTGAGCTGCTTGACCGTGGCATGTCACTCTGCTTCTTGAGCCTACTCCTCACACTTTCCGTTCTTTTTAGCCTACTCACACTCAAATCGTTATCCGCGATAGTGTATTCAAGTAGCATTTGCAGTTCTGGACCGATTTTCAGGTGGGGTACAAATCTTTCGAAATTATAGTCGGACCAGATGATTACTGTTCATGTTTTTGAACAATTTCAGGTGCGTTTGGTTCAGCATTTGCAAAGCTCTTTAGGATTCCCTGGCAAAATTTTTGAGGTGCTTTGAAGGTATTTTTGAATGTTACGTTTCCGAAATTCAAGGACTTATTTTTCTTTTAACTTTGCTCTCGCTCAACTTTCATAATTCCGGAAATGTTCTAAAAAACCCTAACATTGCCTTAGCCATCGATAAGCAACCGGCGTGCCACCAGCGAGTGGCGGCTGAGTTCCGCCGGTGAGAGTATGTCGTCCGTATATAAATGCTTTTGGGTTATGACATCATTTTGATCAAATCTATATCATTTGACAAGCGGGACTTTAGAATTTCGAGGATTGAACTAAGAAATTAGTAATTTTCAAACCGGTGGTGTCGTTCTCGATACCTAAGAATTTGCAAAATCTTCTCATGGTCCTTTCTTTGCTCAAAGCACCAGATCAGTACACTCCGCCTGGCTGAGACCAGAGTATTGGAACATGAACAAAAGCCTCCAAACAAATAACAACATGAGTAAACAATAGTTCCTTGTTTGAGGTGTTTTAAAAACAAAGACCTCAGCCTCACACTTCTGCTGTATCAACGTTTACCATGAAATCAAAGTACAAATTTCACTCTTGCTCCCTTCAATCCTACGCCTACATATAGAATTGCCGGTTTAATAGCAACACGGCATGGCACAGCACGGCCTTCTATTGATTCCGCCCTAGTCGGTTGAGAAAAAGCTAAGCTACTTCAGTCATAAGTAGCAGCTCGTAACTGAGCCAGTCGAGGGGAAAAGTCGAAACACCGCACCGGAAGCCAGAAAACATCGACTGTACTCAGCTCACCAACTTGGTCCAAGCATAAGCCACCGGACTCCGAACTTGGTTTTGGGCATTGCTCCAAACGATGCTGCCGAACTCCGACCTCGTCATCGGGTTCGTGCCCTTTTTCGAGACAAAGGTGACCGTGTACCTCCTCTTGTCCCCAACATTCGGGAAGACAAGCTTCCTCGGCTTCACCGTCACCCCGACCGTTGACGGGCCTGTGACCGACACTTCGTACGCAGACCCTGCGGTCCCCACGTTGGTCAGCTCGCGAGTGTATCTCACGACCTTCTTGTCCTCAAACACCACCGAGAATGACGGGTAGTTGAGTTCACCGGGGTCGGAGAATTTACGAGAGCATGTGACGTTGGGGCGCTTGACGATGGCTTTCACGTGGTCGATGGTGTAGTCTAGGGAGCAGAGAAAGGCGATGTAGTCTTCGGCCGTGAGGTCGTACACGAGGCCAGGAGAGAGGGCCTTTTGCGGGTCCACATGGCCCGAACCATGAGCCCAAGGAGTGGAGAACCCGCCGCCGCCGGCGTCCCGGAGAGGAGACCTTGTGTTGTCCAGGACGTAGGCGGAGGTCATGAGAGCGGACTTGATCGCGCTCGGGCTCCAATTTGGATGGGCAGATTTGAGCAGTGCCGCGACTCCGCTTATGTGCGGGCATGACATGGATGTACCTTCAAAAAAACCGGTTAAGCGTGTCAGTGATGATAGCATTCATAGTTACACAATACCGCATCATCGATACACTTGAAACTATGCCACATAAGTCGCATCTAGATCGATAATAGCTGATCGATCGTAGGCGAATTCTCAGCAAGTGTCAAGAATGTCATCTGAGGATTAACAATCGATTGCTCTGCCACGTTCAATTACGGTGCAGATCAAAGTTTTACAACGACACCATAGATTACCGTTAGATGCATACAATTTGGTTCATCAATTGGGACCACCTTCTCCATTATTTATAGACTTTTGAGGCACATTGAAGGTGGTACCCCACAGCAGCCTATGCACGACAACCTAGCCCTTCTGTGATGCTCAAGCAGATACTCAATGCATTAAAGTAATTGGGAGTACGCCCAGCTACAGTTTTTGCACACGTCAACATCGCATTAGGAAAAAGTGAGAAACTTCATAAATGAAAATCTAGCCGTTAGGCAGAACCATACCTGACATTATGTTGAACGGGCTCTTCCGGGTATCGGACTCCAGCCCGGTGGGCCCGACCGCGTCCGACCAGGCGGCCAATATGTTAACCCCCGGCCCGATCACGTCCGGCTTCAGTATCTCCGGCGTCACCATGTTGGGCCCCCTGGAGCTGAACGCTGCGACCACCGGTGACGGCCTCACGTTCACCACCGTCCCTCTAAAGCCGAGCACCGCCGTCGGATTCGCGTCGCTCTTCACGTACTCCCTTATCACATCACCCATTTTCCTCCCCACAGCGACTGCCGGGATCAGGTGGCTGTCCGCCACCAGTTCCTCCCCGTTCGCAGCCGTGTTCGCCAGTATCATCCCCACTCCGCCCGCGTCCCTCACCACCTCACCTTTCTCAACACGGGCGTTCACCCCCCGGTCGCACAGCACCACCTTCCCACGCGTCAGGGCTGGGTTGAGCGACCCGGGCAAGCACAGGTTGCCCGAGCTATTGGACCCTTTGTTATAAATCACGGCCACGGGTTTATGCCCCATCCCAGGCCCCGAATAGAGGGAGACCCCGGCGTAGCGCTTGCCGTTGCCTAACAGGGCGTATGCCGGAAAATCACGATCGATTGTTCCGGCGCCGACGGTCATGATCCAAGGCGCCACATTGGCGAGTGAGGCCCTTGCCGGCCCGCTGTTCCCAGCGGAGCAAGAAACAAAAATGCCCTTCTCCATGGCGGTGAACGCGCCGATGGCGATTGTGTCGCGGTAATACGGGGCAGTCCCGCCGCCGAGAGAGAGCGAGAGGACGTCGACGCCGTCGAGGATGGCTCGGTCCATCCCCGCGAGGATGTCCGACCCGAAGCAGCCGGAGCTCCAGCAGACCTTGTAAACGGCCACGCGAGCGTGGTCGGCCATCCCTCGCGCCGTCCCGCTGGCGTACCCGAGAAGGCTGGCGTTGGTCACCGGCGATCCGGCGGCGGTGCTGGCCGTGTGAGTCCCGTGCCCGTCTTGGTCTCTCGGCGACTCCAATTCCTTAGGCTTCTTCAAGAAATTCGCACCTTCGATTTATCCAAAACAAAAATGCAAAGTCGTCACCACCCAGAGACGCAAGAACCGTTCAATTATAACTCAAGCAAGCAACTTTTCTGAGAGCACCAATTCGATGATCATTTCAAATTTCTGCAGATCACCCAATTCAGACACGAATGACATGCTTTCGATTAGATTATGCTTCATTCTTACTAAAAATTGAACCCCACCACAGTAATTACTTACCTTAGCACAGATGATCAAAGAAAAAGAGAAAATTTAAAGCCAAAAACTTGATGAATCATGTCGAATTAATGACTAATTACCAGAGGCCATGTGATATCCCTTGGAGAAGAACCGAGCTCCGACCAGCTTCTTGTTACACGACTTCGGGCTGAAGTCCGGGCCCGATTCACACTCGCCCTTCCACCGGGCCGGCACTTCCGGCATGCCCGCATCGTCGAAGCTCTTCGACTCCGGCCACACCCCGGTGTCCAGGACCCCGACGACGACGTCGCCGAAGGCCCGCGTCTTCCCGCCGCTCGGACCTCCCTCCTGCGGGTCCTCCGACAGCCCGAGGTCGCCGGAGATGCCGAGGAACGCGGGGGTCCGGGTGGTGTGGAGGTCGTAGACGGTGTCCTCGTAGACGCCGAGGACGGAGGCGGACGCCCGGAGCGAGTCGGCCTCGCCCGGGTCGAGGGAGGCGGCGAACCCGTGGAACGCGGCGGTGTAGGCGTAGAGGAGGGGGTCCTCGGCGTCGTCGTCGTCGGAGGAGGAGGAGGAGGAGAGGGAGTGGAGGTTGGAGGCGTACCAGTCGCGGCGAGTGGCGAAGGAGGGAGGCATCTGGTGGGAGTTCATGTGGACAATGTACGTCCTCTTGGCCGCCGCCTCCGCCGCCGTCGCCGCCGTCGCGGCGACCGAGAGCAGCAGCAGCGCCAGGCATTGCAGAGGGGCGAGCGAGCGGATGCGGAGGTTGGCCATGGCCGAGAGACAGAGAGAGAGTGGAAGAGACGCAGTGGGCTAGCAAGGGGACAGTGTCAGAGGAAGGAAGAAGATGGGAAGGAGAGCGAGAGAGAGAGAGAGAACTCGTGTCGGGGTTATATTTCCAACTCTTTGGGAGAATGGGCTTGGATTTCCCTCTTATTACGCATATTGCCATTGCACCTCCAAGGCATCCTTCCATGTGAAATTTACGTTCACAACGCTTAGTTGGTGAAGATGCTCACTAATCAAAACTAACTTAGTCCACGTAACGGCCCGTTCGCATAACTTAATCTAATCATGTCACGAGTCCTTTTGGTACACAGTACATTTCTCAATTGCGCTATGTAAAAGTTTTTATGTTTTATACGACACGATCTGGTGACACGACATTTCTAATTTTCATATGTGATTTTTTTTGGATATTCCATGTTGAATGATAATGAGGATTTTTTTTATAATGATTTTTTTACTCATATGAAATTCGGCATTTGATTTGATTTTCTTTTTCTTTATTTTCAATCGCAAAATTCGACATCAGTTGATTGACATCTCAGGTCATTCTGCAATTTTCCAAAGCTTCTATAATTTTCAGTGGTATCCTAAACTTTTAAAAGGCGATAGGTATTTTCTTGTAGGAATAAGTGCACTGAAAATCTTAAAATTTGTCAAAAAAGTTCAATTAAGTCCTACAATTTATCAAAACTCGATTGCACCTCGATTGGACTTTTTAAAAGTTTTAAGACTTGATTATACTTTCGTGATAAGTTTTATAACTCGATTGTATTTTTTTTTTGACAAATTCAGGAATGGATTACACTCTGGTTACAAGTTTTAGTACTTTCACTTATAATTTCTTTTCAATACTTCGACGGTGATTTTTTTTTAAAATGAAGGAATGAGTAAAACTCTGGTTCTTCTCGAAAGAGTGAAAAGATTGATTTCGGACAAAATCTAGGGGCAGGATGGGGAACGAGAGTGTGGCGCACACACCTGTACATGGGAAAGGAGGGGAGGAGGAGGCATGATGCTGTCGTGTTGCGCGTGGGGGACGAGGAGATCTCACGCCAATTCAGGGCCTAACGGCTATACCCCACTTTCCTTCCTGTCTGTCCTTTCTTTCGGTTTCCCCAGTCAACAATTTTGACCCGGAACGCGGGCCCAATCCAATACGAGAGAGAGAGTGCGGCCGTACCCGCCCCATTTCCTCACCGCTCGCCCCCCTCACACACCTCGTGCGTGCCAGCCAGCCAGCCAGCCAGCCACTGACTCACTCGCTCGCTTTGAACTCACGTCTCCGAAGGAACCTTCCTCCTCCCCCCACCTCCACCACGCGCGAAGGCGCGTCGATTTTCCCCTGCCGTCATGAGCCCCACCACGGAGGGCGTTTGGTAGCCCGAATTTAAGGTCACCACCGATACTATTTGATAGTTTCGCGACGTCCGTCCGAATTTATCCGGATGAGATCGGGATAGAATGATGGATAACTTGCCCGGGTCTTGGGATTTGAGGAATTAAGTAATGGGTCCTCCTTACCTAGCGAAACTACCATCCATGCCCATCTCATGCAAGCCAAGCAAGGGTGAATCCACCCGGCTTGAGTCGATCTCGGGCGAAGAACGGTCCAGGTCCATCTTCCCGTGGGTTGTGCGACCTATAGAGCGAGGACAGATCCACCCTCGCCTGGATCGTAAGACCTCCAACGTGTGCATACTAAGCCTCATTAGGAGTGTTCACCCCCCCCCCCTATGGAGACCCTGCTGGCAGCACAACCTTGGCTCCCATGGCTACTCGCAAACATAGACACCTTTCCCCAATCTCTAAGTTTCTTCTTTCCAATATTTCTTTGCTGAAAAAGGCTTATTTTCCTAATGTTCAGGCGTATATTATTGTAAATGATGAAAGCAATTTTTATCAACTCATTTTGCACGAAAAAAACAGAGTCCGAGAATGGTTTCAGATGGATTACTTGTCCGCCGATCAAAGACAATCCAGTAAGAACTAGACATGAGGCGAAAAAAGAATCCTTCCAAACTGTGAGCTAAGAAGGTGGAATTTGGGAAAGATTGAAGAGTTAAACCGAGTCCAACATTGGATTTGGATTTAGCACAGGCGCGTGCTGTCACTGACCAAGGTAGGGGAGTGGTGGGAAGACTTTCAAACATTTGAAAGCAAAGACAGAGCAAAAGCAGAAAAAAAAAACGATGATTTCACATGGATGGTATGGGCGAGCAGGAAAACATGAAACCGCAGATGGTGGCGACGATTGAGCCATCTTCCGCATCGAGGGACGCGCACCATAAAAATATCAAAATCTTCGACAAATTTCCAAACCGCAGGTTTTCTCTGAAACGGATGCATGCAGCACGGAGGAACCGCACACCACCCTTTGCGCATTTTGTACTTTCACCTCCTCCTCCTCCTCCTCAGGGCCGAAAAATCCAAAGATTGTTTCCATAAAACAAGTGTCGTTACGTTGAAGATCGCAAGATTGACTTGTAAAATGAAAAAAATCAAGATATGTTGCGGAACCGTGTTGATGCTTGAATACGACCCGACTTATTTAAATGACGAATTCTATGTACCCTAACTTTTGTCAAATTTATTCTGTAGAGGGATCGAGACCTAATTTTACCACACGGAGGAACCACATGCCACCCTTTGCGCTTTTTGTACTTTCACCGACTCCTCCTCCTCAAGGCCAAAAAAATCCAAAGATTGTTTCCATAAAACAAGTCTCGTTACGTTGAAGATGGCAAGATTGACTTGTAAAACGAAAAAAATAAAGATATGTTGCGGAACCGTGTCGATGCTTAAATATGACCCGACTTATTTAAATGACAAATTGTATGTACCCTAACTTTTGTCAAATTTATTCCGTGGAGGGATCGAGACCTAATTTTACCTGGAATCTATACAAAATCAGAAATCAGCTCTTAAACGTGTTCGGAAGGGTATCTATTAAGCATTATCAGGAGGTTTTGATCTATAAGCAATAGGGGTGTGTAAAGAACCAGGAATTGAACTGGACAGACCCATATCCGATGATTCTCATAGCGACCAGTTCGGTTCCCAGTTCCAGTACTGTACTGAAACTGGTGAGTACCGGTCCGGTTCCTAGTTCCATGCGTGGAACCATCCACCCGAACCAGACCGATATATATTAAAAAAATGTAAGCATTCATCCTAAAATCACAATATCATTTCGTGTTTGATAGGTAAAACCTTCATTCAGATTTTTTTTTTAATTATTCTTACCTTTCCCCTTGCAATTTTGTAAGGATTGGGGGCCGGTTCATGGATACACTCGGGAACCGGACCGTCCGGTTCCCAAGTGGATTCATGGAATTAACGGGCACTTCCCGATTTCAATTTTTCAGAACCGGTACTTAGTTGGCGGTTCCCGATTCCAGGGTGGGAACCGCCTATCTGGATCATACTCATCCTTAATCAAGATAGGCCCGACCTCCATTATCTCGATCCCCACAACCTAATTTTAACACCACCCCACGCGGGAAGAGCATTACTGATTAACTATCAAGAATGGGACCGCTTCTTGTGTGTAATGGCTACTTAGAGTCAGTGCTTCACAATTCACCTGCTATATAGAATTATCATGGTGCATCATTACCTGCCACATCACTCACGAGTATTTAGAATATCACATGGCCCACGCCACCTTATGGTAGTTCGGATGATTATTTAATGTCTAATTTGGGATGCGCACTTGGAGTGAGAGGTTGCCCTTTACCAAACTCACGTGTAATTGCAAATTTATTATACGGTTAGTCGCGACTTTGGGTTGAATTTTGCGGCACGTAAGACAGATATATAGTTGGTTGCCACGGTCGGCCCTGCAAAAGTTTTCTTTTACCCCGAAAAAAAAAAGTTGGCCTGGAATAGTGCGTGAGAAGAGAATCAAATAAATTATATCATCGATAAGCATAAAGAGTATGCAATCTAAAGTCACGAGAATGACAAGAAAATTTACATTACTATTGGCCCTAGCTACCATATGGCCCTTAATGGGCGTGGTGCGTACGTAATGATATAAAAAATTCGAGATAGCCGTTCGTTTTCTTTTAATGTTCCATGACGATGGTGTGAGGGTGAGAAATTGAAGTTAAATATATTTAATAGCATCATGTATCAACCAAAGCGTCGCTTTGGCCGAGTGGTTAAGGCGTGTGCCTGCTAAGTACATGGGGTTTCCCCGCGAGAGTTCGAATCTCTCAGGCGACGTTTCTCTCTTTTAAATTTTCCTTTTGTGCTCCATTCAATCTCGTTTCGTTTTGACTTTCTCCATACAATTTGTTTGTAGTTGAAGCAGAGTTTCAATTGTAGCATCGGTGACAAATGAGTGGGTAGGATTGGATTTGGGTGAGCCATTCACCCATTTAACTCACTTTTATTTTCTAGACAATTAAAATAACCCATACCCAACCTAATCCAGGACCAACCCAAACCCATCTAACAACTCACTTTTTTAACTATGGCAATTTAAGCATATAGCAAATTTAAACTATATTAGTGACAAAGAAAAAGTATTCAGACTAACGCGGAAATTTTTTTTAAGTCATTGCGGCTGAAACGACATCTTCCATGTCCCTTCTCCAACCACAAACTGAAGTCAACCCGAACTTCGGGCACTCTTGCGGCTCAACTTGCATATTCTCCCTTGAATTCAACGACCCAACGGTCCTCGTGACCTTGTTCTTGCTTGCGCCTCTCCCTTTCTCCTCTGCAACCCCATGCCTTCCTCGGCTCGTGCTCTCGATTTCCTCATTGGGCAATACCTCTATCTTGAGCCTCTTGTGGCCGTTCTCCAATGAAGGTGACACAGCCATGTCGGCGACGAACTTGAACAGCAGAGGCTCCAGGATCCTCCAGAAGGAGAGAAGGAGGTGGAATTGTCCGACGATGTCGAAGAGGCGAACCTCTGTTGCTAGTCGAAGTAATCAAACTGACGGCACTTCAACGAGAGGTGGCCATTGGGAGGTCGGGCCGGAGAGACGTGAGAGGTTTTGCGAGGGTTTAAGAGACTGTGACTAGTAAGTGATTGTTGTGGCGAGGAAGACGAATTGCGGAAGCAAAAGAGCTTAGGGTTCGGGGAGCAAACTGGAGAGGATGACAGCAACTAGTGAGAAGGTGATAGCGAAGAGGGAGAGAGAAGAGAACATCAGCCCTAGCGGGTTGTTAAGCCCGTTTATTTAATGCTTTAAATTTTAAAACCCGTTAGGGGTAGACTCTTCAAATTTGAAGTGACCATATACGATTCATTTTTAAAAAAAAAACCATTGAGTCATATATGGATTTAAGACTCAGGTCTAGTTCCTGCGCTTCCGCAAAAGAATGGAAGGTTCCAAGACTACAAGCTGTCAACTACGCAACTGCACTTCCCCAGATTGTCAGTTCAGTTACTACGATGACAGGAATTCAATAGTATATACATGCCATTGAACTGGGTATGAGATAATAAGATACTAATCCGAGTCATTAATCAACACTGCAAACTTGGCAGCGAAGAGTGTATTGTGTTGAAGAGCAGCATCAGGAGCTCGAGGGTAACAAAGATAGTACAGATGCTTATGCACGATGGCTTTCACGCCTCAAAAGAAGAAGCATAGCCTAACTAGAGCACCAAATCTCATCCCAACGTCTAAAGTAAGATCATATAACATATGCAGAACCCTGATAAAGCAGCGCGCAGATAAGCGCATGAGAGAGAGAGATTCACATTAATTGCAAATAATGTTTTCTGATCACTCTCCATCCAATGAAACTCCAACAGGAGGAGTGGGGAAGGTTACAGGGCCGAGAGTCAAATGTTTCGACAGATCAACACATTGTGCCTTCCGACTTCAGTGCAGGTATTGAAATAGCAGCAAAAGGATGTTGAACGGAAGGCTCTAATGACCATACTTCTGAAATTCCCATTCGCTATTATCTGTAGAATGCAAGGCACAATCGAAAGATCAGACCAGATACATAAACAAATCAGCAATGTTGTAATTGGAGAGAGACAGGGAACACAGCTAAAAACATACCCAATGGACACACTTGACGAGTCTTGAGCCATCGGCTGATGCAGTGAAAATGAAATGCGTGGTTGCAAACTCCTATAGCATCAAGAAGAGAGATTTGATGAGCCAAGGAACAGTTGCCCAAAATAAACAAACTACTATTGCCAGCGATAACAAAAGAACAATGGACCTTTCTTTTGTTCTTCAAAAGAACAACGGACCTTAAATTATTAAAATCGTTTATCATATGATAGTAGAAACCTAGATAGACTATAATTGAGCAAAAGAATCATCTTCATGGTAATCCGGTCTCATAAAAGAAGACGAAAAGCTTGTCCATGTAAGTGTGCCCTTTGATGATTGAGGGCAGAGCGTTCCTTTCTCAAAATGATTTTACAACTATAACCAAAGAGCAACAAGGAACCATCAGATTATTACCTCCCAAAAGACAACATGCTATAATATAGTATTCCCAGTTAGAATATTAAGCAATGGACTCTCAAGCACCCACAGGTTTTTTCTCTTTCATTGGTCACAGAACCCAGGAGTAACGGTTTTGTAATAAATGTTGTAAATAAACTATTACTGTGGGCGCACTTAGGCAGGTAAACGGGACATCTTAGACAAGGAAATCAACGGTGCCCCCACATGGAAAATTTCAGCAAAGGAAAGTAGTCAATATGCCAATGTAAACTACAAACATAAGTAGTAACGAAAATACAACTGATGGCAACGAACTCTTACTCTTCTGAGAGCAAAAAGTGCACTCATACTTCATTGTGCGCTTTTTCTTTCTAATTTCCATTATGCTAATATCAATCATGGCAAGTCTTATTCTTGTGAGGCGAAATGGACTGTTGGTAAACATCAATTTACTTGGGTACACATCATCTTAAAAAGCTCAAACTTCCAAAAGGGGGAATATAACAGAGAAATAAGCCCAGAACAATGGGTATCAAAACCTTCAAAGACGTTCCATTCTGCCGTCGATCCCTATTCAGAAAGACTGATCTAATTACTAAGTCCTCAGTTGATAAGGGATTGAAACAAGACCAAAGCAACTAGACAAAAAAAATTTCACAATTAGGAAACATAGCATTGTCAATCACAGAAATCTTCACGCCGGAAACTGCACTTTAGTATAACAACAGACCTTTTATGATTTCGCGATGAAACATGATAATGCACGCGTTGAAATAGAAATCGAGATTACTCTCAAAGAACACCAATATGCTCATGTGCTAAACAGTAATCGACACAACCTTCTACATGCTTCGATTCGAGAACATCGATCAAAGCGAATACACTTAATTATAGTCTCAATGCTCCTACATTCACCGCTCATCATCAGTTCAGTTCCAAATTCTAGCATTAGCGAAATCCTCACTATCCCATCATCAAACAGCAAGTATCTAACAACCGCAACACACGAGGCCGGCGCCTAAACGGACATAGAATCGAGAAATCAAAGTTTACCCCAAGCAACCGTGCACTCCTCGCTAGTGGCGCTCGCTTGATTAGCTTGGCACTCAATGCCTGACGACAGCAAGCAAAAAAATACAACCTTAGAGATCACAAACAACCTAAAGAGCTTCAAAAGCACGTTACTGCGGTAGCCGATCGAAACTCACACAGATCCATGATGTGGTTCCTGCAGATAGCGCAGTTGTCCACGACGATATCTGCAACCACCAGCAGAGGGGGAGACAGAGAGATTCGATCAATACCCATTGCTCAAAAAGCGACAAGGAAGCAGAGGGAACAGGGTTAGGGTTCGAGGGAAGGTACCCCAGGCCCAGAGCGAGACGGCGTTCCACTTCTTGATCTCGAACCGCTTCGGTTTCCTCGACGACGACGACGACGCCGACGAAGAAGACGCCGGAGGAAGAGGAGCAGGAAGAAGAGGGGCGTCGCTGCTCGACGCTTCGCCGGCGGGGGTCATCGGCACGTCGGAGTCCAGAGCCGCCATGGTTCAAAGCCGATTCGGAAGCACAGAGACTGAGACAGAGAGGGAGTGTGTGTGTGTTTTGTGAAGATTTCAACCACGAAACGTGGGCTTGGGGCAATTTATAGGGGAATGGCCTGACCCAAGGGGCCTTCTTGGACTAGTAGTAGGAAAGATGGAGTCATCCTTACCACATAATATCGCTGCTAACCTCATCAGTTCACACTTTGATGCAGTCATGGTGACAATGCCCTGTCAAAACCCTAATTCAACCTCAACCTCTTTTGTACAGTACAGTCTTTGTTGTAGCTTGAGTAAGCCATCCAGAATTCTTTGCCTTTTTGTGAGAGAAGCTGCGGATGTCGGATACGTCAATCCCCTTTCTTTTCTCGTTGTTCAAACTTTTTTCTTTTCTTTGAGATAAGTGCACCGAAAATTCTGAAACTTATCATGAAAGTATAATTGAGCTCTAGAACTTATCACGGAAGTGCATTCGAGTCCTAAAATTTTCAGAAAATACAATCGAGTCCCGAAACTTGTCACGAAAGTGCAATCGAGTCTTAAAACTTTGAAATTCTGCAATCAACGGAATGACTTGATTGGACCAATTGACAAGAATTATGACTTAATTGCACTTTTTGTACAATGACTCGCCAAACCCTAATTCCAACTCCAACCTCTTTGTGTAAAATATTATCTTTTTTATAGGTTGAGTGAGCCGTCTAGAATTCTTTGCCTTTTCTAAGAGACATTTCAGACGACAGATACATCGATCCCTGCCAAGATAACTTTCCTTTTCTTTTCGTCTTTTGTCTTTTTTGTTTATAATCGATGAAGATGTTTAGGACTCTATGAGCACCCGACAAACCTCAATCGGTCGCGACTGTCCCGTCGTCCCCCACGCATACTGGGTAATTACCAGAGAGACACGAATCTGCACACACCTAGGGATGGCCCTAAGAGAATGCGCAGATGCGATGACTCGAAACTTATTCGCGAGGCTTTATCGCATTTTAGTGTACGTTCTTGAGGTACATAATCCCATAAACAGAACGGATCTTTATAGAGAGAACCTATCTGCATATCACCATGTAAGCAATTAGCTAAGTACAATTTGATCTTAAGAGTGTACATGTACATTGTTGGTGGAATTACTAATGTGCTTTTGGGAAAAATTATGTGAAGGTCGGTAGACAAATAATGTGCGTGGGCTTTCTGGTAAGCCTAGGAGGCATTGGATCATTAGATGGACTCTTATCTTTGTCGGGTGTTTTGCAAAATTGGGCTTGAGTTGTCCGAATGGTGTTTAACTATTGCGACTCTCAAAATAAAAAATTATGACTAAAATGAAGAATTACGACGTTGATTACGATTAGCTAGTTTATACTATATCTTCTCAGTGAATATACCACATTTGGGAAAATTACCTAATCAGTCATAAGCTTATTGTACGGATGCTAATATAGTCTCATACTTACCCCTGTTTGCCAATTTAGTCCTACACCAATTGTCCAGTCATGTTGGCCGTCCTACATGTTACATTGTCACATCATAGATTAATGGTGAAAATTGATCGGAAGGATTACATTGAAATTTTGGGCAAAGGTTTAGGGTTAAAATAGCAAAATTAAAAAAATTATGATTGAATTGGTAATCGCAGAAAAGTTTTGGCACCAATTAGACAATTTTCCTACCATATTTGGGTTACTAGAAATTGTTGTAAATTATGACTCGATGGTGTTACAGATTAAAAAATGGCTATACGAGGGAGATTGATTGATTCTATAGACGTTAGAAAGAAGGTGAATGTTGATAGGCATTGATCACTTTGTGCTAATTAGGATTTGACCGATTGGTGTATATATTCTTGAGCATGTAATAGGGTTTGCTCCCCTATTTTGCTGTTGATTCAATATGAAATTGTGAGTTATCGAAATAAATAAGGGAAAATTGTCCAAAAAGTCTTAAACCTATTGCAATTTTGCCAATTCAGTCCTAAAAACTTTTTAATATTGCCAATTGAGTCCTAAATCTTTTCACGTTTTGCCAATTGAGTTCATCCGGTCAATTTTGACCAAAAATCGCTGATGTGGACGCTAGCTATCCTATATGGCACGGTCCGCACTAACATGGATAATTTTAATAATATTTTTATATTTTTTCGATTTTTTATTTTTATTTTCTTTCTTTTTCTTTATTTCCTCCCTTCTTTTTCTTTTTCCAGCTGGTTGTTGGATTTGGGCAATAGCCGGCGACCGGCCAAAGGCAACCGTCGGCGGGGGTCGCCCTCGCCAAAGGTCTACGAAGACAGAATTGACAAAAGTGTAATATATTTAGAATTTTTTTGGACAATTTTCCTAAAGAAATAAAGACAAGTCTGAGGGAGGTAAATGCCAATAATTTGTGAAGTTGACCTTGACTTTCTTGGAAGAACGAGGAAGAATCATGCTAATTTCATTAATGGACATTTTTTATGAAGCAAGAACCTAAAAAAAATAAGTGGCAATCATCGAAATTTGACGTTGTTTTGGTAACTAGTACAAGATAGGGCCATGCAGCCCATTAATTTCAACCCGACAAACGCGCACATATATGTCCATAAGTCCAACTCCGAGGCCGCTTATAAGATTCTTCTTTGACCCCACCTGAATCATGATTGATTTGAGACTCGACGGCAATCAGCGGCCCCGGCGGTCGGAGGTGCATGGAGATGGATTCTCTCTCGATCGCATTTGATCATCACTTGGATCGAATTGGGTTATGTGTTGGCAAACCCTAACAGGTTAAGGAGAAAGTACACGCACAAAGCCACGGCGGTGACGAAGAGGAGGAACAAACAGAGGCGGATGGTGACGGCGTCTTCTGCGTCTCCCTCGAGGCGGCGCTGGCCACGACCACGACGTAGACGCCTTCGCCGCCTTCCGAGCGCCATGTCCATGCGCAAGTCCCCTTGTATTTCTTTCGCTTCCTTTCCTTCCAAATCCAAAAAGGCAAGAACACCCAAAGAGGAGAGGAATTAGAAGGACGTTGGAGCTTGTTCAAGAAACGGCTTCTCTTCTACACTTTTCATTCTGTGTTATAGGGTTCTAAGAGAAAATTCTTGCTCTTAAATAGAGAAGAAAGTCACGAGCATTTCATTGGTATGAGGAATTGGGTCGTATGTTAACACTGTTTCTGCGTAGCTTCGTGGAAGTAAAAGGGAGAGTGTGATTTGGTTTCGAGCAATCGGATCAAACGAGAGTCTTTACGCGGTAGACGTGTATGAATTGCCTTGACCATATAATCTTCGGATGCAACGACGATAAAAGAAGAGTTAAAAGTATTTTGGAAGCTTTCTTGGCAAATATCAAGTGGCATTTTAGTGAATTAGGAGCTTGTTTGAGTTCATACATCCCTTTAAGCAAATTCCTATGGCAGCCCCATGATGCGTGGTGGTTAAGATCATATGCAAGTTCATCTGCATTTGGGTATTGCATCATCCGGCCACCGTTTGTTTTTAGGAAATTTTTTCCCAAATCATTCATTTTTTGTGAAACAAACATAGCCTAAATTATAGTCAATTTACCGCCTTCAGATTTAAACACATCAGCCACTTAGCAAATGGACGATCCATATTGGTTGTCCCTATTTTCCGTTTTGCTCGTTATTTCTTTCCATTTTTCCCTTTGCCCCCGAAAACGTGCTTTGGCCTCCGAAGAAAGAAGACGAACGAATGCACAACCTCCGCTCGCATGACGTTGCCACACTAACGCCAGGAGGCCCACCTTCACTGGTACGATATTGCAGCACTCGCCGACATTGATCGCACGAGCCCAACCCTCTCTCCATCTACCCTGTGCCTCACCAATGCCACAAGCCCGACCCTTTCTCAGTCTTGTAGTTTGGGTCAGGGCTAGAGCCGCCAGATATAGTGTTGTCGAGACAAACTCGGCCTCACCCGCCTCGGGCAACGCCAAATCCAAATGTAGTCATGAACGCTAAGAAGGCATGTTTTTTAACCAACGGAAGCCATAGACACCAAGAGTTGCGATCAAAGACGAACTTCAACACTGATTTTTCAATCGTGCTCTCCATTGCTCTAACCGAGCGTGTTTATGGAAGCAATTCAACAACGTGGTTTTTAGGCGCTTTCTCTGTGATAAGAATAAAGTAGAAAAGAGAATTTCTGTATATTTCTGTGTGTCTAATATTGATGATACAAGAGCCTATTTATAGGCTATTCTAGATAACTATCTAAAGTAACAAAATGTTAAAACATCAAATAACATCAAATAGAATCAATCAGGGATGATGGACATCTCTAACATTATCAATCATGAAAGATCGATATCTCTAATATATATCTCTAACATCCCCTCTCAAACTCAAGGTGACATAGAAGAGGTCAACTGGAGTTTGGAAAAGAGATCTTGAAAACGCCTGGGTGGATATGCCTTAGTGAAAACATCTGCCGTCTGATCAATCGATGTAGTGGGAACAAGATGAATAATACCACGATGCACGTGAGAGCGTATGAAATGACAATCTATTTTAATATGTTTGGTACGCTCATGGAAAACATCATTATGTGCTATTTGGATAGCGCTCCGGTTGTCACAATAAATGGTCGTTCCACCATTTTGACGGACGCCCATGTCTTCCAATAACCACCGCAGCCATAGTAATTATGATGTTGTATTAGCAAGAGCGCGATATTCTGCTTCAGTACTTGATCGGGCGATGGTAGTCTGTTTCTTGCTTCGCCAGGAAATAAGAGACTTTCCTAAGAAGAAGCAGTAGCTTGTAGTAGATCGACGATTAAGAGGATCGCCAGCCCAGTCAACATCAGAATAAGCTGTCAACTCTAAGCTTGAGTTAGCAGAAAAGTGAAGACTGTGAAATAAGGTACCCTTGACATAGCGAAGAATTCGAAGAACAGCAGCAAAGTGAGTTGTTCGCGGCGCGGTCATATATTGACTTACGATATGAATAGCATAAGCGATGTTCGGGTGGGTAACAATGAGGTATACAAGACTGCTAACCAACTATCGATAAAGCGTAGGATTTAAAAGAGGAGTGCCATCTTTGTCATCAAATTTGGCATTAGTCTCAATGGGGGTTGTAGCA